AGGAGAATTTCCTTTTTAACCTCATTTTTCCAAATGCAGCCTTGCATTTCCCATATTTGTGGTGCTGGAGGAAAGGAGAATTTCCTTTTTAACCTCATTTTTCCGAGTGGAATGCAAAATCACCCAGCTAATTGTGGAGAGTTTATTCTCTGCCAGGCGTGCCTGATGAAATCAGAGTGCAGCATTATCAAACCCATTGTTTAATTACCAATTATCTCCGTGCTGATGAATCAGAGCCATTAGAGGTTTGTGGGGCTCACCTGCCATCAGGTGCACCCCAGTTTTTGTGGAATCAGAGGAATTCTTCTTGGCAGGGGGATGAGAGGGAGGCTGAGCCTCAACAATCTTTGTTTTTCTGGCTGAAATCCTCTCTGGAAGAAAAGAGAAATTGAGGATATTGGAAGGGTGAGCTGTCCCAGGTACAGGTGAGGTGTGAGCTTTGGGAAAGGCACACAGCCCTCCTCGTGCAGGGAGAGCCAGAGCATCCACACACAATTCCAGGAAGCCAGAGGAAGGAGGGGCTGCTCCCAGCACTGATTGTTTCATTTGCTAATTAGTGCTTAAATCTCCTCAAAGTCAAATAAAGCAGAGGATGTGAGCTGGTGGAGCTGTTCCCTCCTCCCCTTCCCCACGTTTCCTCACCCTTTTTATTTTATTTTATTATTTTTTTTTATATTCATGGGTGTGGGGGCTTTGCTGGTGGGGCAGAGCAGGTGTTTGGGGTAGAGTGGGGTATTCTCCACGATTTGTCCCTGATGTGACCTTGGCTGTGTTCTTTTACCTTCCTCCCACCTGGTAATGCATTTGAGGGATGAATTAAAAGCTTTTTGTGCAGGGAGATTTTTCTGGACTGCAGCAAAGAGGGAGATGCCACAAGTCTGTGAAGAATATTGAATACTGGAGAAAAATCTCTAAATTCTTGGTGTGCAGTGCTCTCCTTTTCCAAGGGACAAACGTGGAGGTGGGAGCTGGGCAGGCAGACCTTTGTTCAAACTTTGTGGCCAGGTGTTTGTTTGCTGCTCCCTGTGTTCTTCCACCTGGTAGATGCATTTGAGGGATGAATTAAAAGCTTTTTGTGCAGGGAGATTTTTCTGGACTGCAGCAAAGAGGGACGTGCCACAAGTCTGTGAAGAACATTGAATAAAAATCTAAATTCTTGGTGTGCTGTGCTCTCCCTTTCCAAGGGGCAAACACAGAGGTGGGAGCTGGGCAGGCAGACCTGTAGTGACCTGGAAATATCACTTTTATTCCAACTTTGTGGCCAGGTGTTGTTTGCTGCCCCAGCCCCAGCTGAACAGGAGGCTGTGTGTGCTGGAACAGGAGCTCTGAGCCCTCCACAGGCACAGGGCTGCCAACAGGCACGACGTGACCTGGGAAATAAAAACCTCTTTTTCTGAAAGGGGATAAACATCTCCTTTTCTGGGCCTTGCTATCAGATGCTCTTTGGTGTTATTTTCAAACACTGAGTCCATTAGCAATCAGGTTGAGAGCTCTGGTGATTTATCTCCAGGTGGAGCACATCCAATGCCAATATTCTTCACCTCAGGATGAGGTCTCTGGGAGAAATCACCTTTTTTTCTCCTTATACTGGCTTGATTTGGAATATTCTTCACCTCAGGATGAGGTCTCTGGGAGAAATCACCTTTTTTCCTTGTTACGCTGTTTTGGATTGGAATATTCTTCATCTCAGGAAGAGATTTCTGGGATAAATCACCTTTTTTTCCTTGTTATGCTGTTTTGTACTGGAATGTTCTTCACCTCAGGATGAGGTCTCTGAGAAAAATCACTTTTTTTTCCTTGCCATGTTGGTTTGGGTTGGAATATTTTTCACCTCAGGAAGAGGTCTCTGGGAGAAATCACCTTTTTTCCTTGTTATGCTGTTTTGGATTGGAATATTCTTCACCTCAGGATGAGATTTTTGGGAGAAATTACTTTTTTTCTTTGTTATGCTGCTTTGGGTTGGAAAGTTCTTCACCTCAGGAAGTTTCTGGAAGAAATCACCTTTTTTTGCCTTGCCCCATGCTGTTTTGGACTGGAATATTCTCCACCCCAGGAAGAGATTTTTGGGATAAATCACTTTTCTTTCCTTGCCATGCTTCTTTGGGCTGGAATATTCTTCACCTCAGGAAGTTTCTGGAAGAAATCACCTTTTATCCTTGTCATGCTGTTTTGGGCTGGAATATTCTCCACCCCAGGAAGTTTTTGGGATAAATCACTTTTTTTTCCTTACCATGGTGTTTTGGATTGGAATATTCTTCACCTCAAGAAGAGACTTTTTGGATAAATCACCTTTTTTTCCTTGCCATGCTGCTTTAGGCTGGAATATTCTTTACCTCAGGATGAGGTCTCTGAGAAAAATCACTTTTTCTTCCTTGTTAGGCTGTTTTGCATTGGAATATTCTCCGCCCCAGGAAGTTTTTGGGATAAATCACCTTTTTTTCTTTGTTATGCTGTTTCGGATTGGAATATTCTTCACCTCAGGAAGAAATTTTTGGGAGAAATCACCTTTTTTTCCTTGCCATGCTGTTTCAGGCTGGAATATTCTCCATCCCAGGAAGAGACCAGCATCTCTCACGGTGTCACCTCCCCAACCCCAACCACCCCAACCCCTCCTTTTTGCCTCCTCTCTCTCTCCTTGCTGGGGATGGAGAGGATCCTCTTGACTCCAATAACGATTTGTACCATTTTTAACCATTTTCACCTCGACTGCTGCTGCCATCCTGGATGTTCCTGGCGCTGCTGCTCCCTCCCCAAAGCCAGCTGGGAATTCCAGCCTGTCATTCCCTCGCCTCGTAGCTCAGGGCTATCTTTAGTAGTTTCAAGTTGCAACAGATCTGGAAGTTGTTCCCTTCAGCTGCAGCAAAGCCCGGGCTGGGTTTTTGTCCTGGCTGAGTCCAGGGTTGTCCGTCACCAGGGCAGCTGAACCGGTCAGTGCAGAAGCGCAGGTGAAAATTTGGGGTTTGTTGTTGGGGAGGATGAAAGCTTGCCAAGAAAATCTCACATTTTTGTGTGCTTGGCAGAAAGATTTCTGAGTGTAGAATGTGAAGGAGGAATAGAAATGGAAGCAAGTTTTGGTATAGAAGAAAATTATTGCTGGAGCCAGTCTTAGTGGATAACCAAGGAGGCAAAGGGTGTTTTAGTTAAAAGGGATTTTTTGGGCTTGGAGCAAAGGATAAACCCACCTGAAACAAAAAGATGCTTTTACCAAGCAAAAAGATTCCACAGACAGACAAGACTGGTGGTGTTGCAAGTAGAAAAAAAAAAGATCTCAGAATTTTCCACTGCAAGAAAACTGAAAAACAACTTCTAGCTTAAACTGTGAGTGGGCAGTAGTGACATGAATATGGAATTATAGGAGTTCTGATAGGCTGTAGGTAAAAGTGAAGGTATAGATTGGTTCTTCTGTATGAAAATGCTCAGAAAAGAAAAGTAGAAAATGCATTGTAAGCAAAAGAAAAGTATAAAATGCATTGTAAGCAAAGCAAAAGGGTCTTCAGGCTTGTCTGCAGCTGGAGCTCTGGGTTTTCAGTTTTTAAATGAGTGATTCTTCTTGGCTGCAGAAATTCTGTGCATGATTTTTGCTGGGTGCTAAAATTCTGTATATTTTTTTCTGGGTGCAGAAATTCTGTTTATATTTTTTTCTGGGTGCAGAAATTCTGTGTATGATTTTTTTCTGGGTGCAGAAATTTTGTGTATAATTTTTTCTGGGTGCAGAAATTCTCTGTATGATTTTTTTCTGGGTGCAGAAATTCTGTTTATATTTTTTTCTGGGTGCAGAAATTCTCTGTATGATTTTTGCTGGGTGCAGAAATTCTCTGTATGATTTTTTTCTGGGTGCAGAAATTCTCACCTGGGATTTCTGGGATGTCCTGAGTGTCATTTCCTGCAGATCCTGCCCTTTCAGACGTGCAGATAAAATTATTGCAGCATCTTTCTCTGCTGATCCAGCAGCTGGAGCTCTGCTGAGTGAGTGTTCCCTGTGGGACACAAAAGATTCCAGTCTGTCCCTTGAGATCCAGGAGAGTGTTGAAATCCTGGGATTGCAGCTCCAGAATTACAGGTCTGAGAGCTTCTCTGAATTGTCAGAGGTTTTTAAAGCCCTGAGTTTCTGCTTTTAGTGGAGTTTGCTCCTTGGAGTCTGAGGATAAATGACTAAAAGCAAGAATAGAATCATATGATCTGATTCCTGCTGCCAAAAGATGAAGGGAGGACAGATGGTTTAGGAATGAAGTGAATATTTTACAATGTTTTTCTTTCCAATAATAGGAAAAAAAAAAAAAAAAAAGGGGGTAAAGATTGCCTAATATTGCCCTGCCAGCCATTAACAATGCAAATAAGTGTGGAGAAAAAAAAAAGTGCTCATTCCTTAAAATGTGAGGGAATGCAGGCATCAGTGGTGGAGTTATTTATTTTTATTTTTTCAAAAGAAACTCCGTTTGCTCTTTTCTCCCTCCCAACCAGCCCCCCCCAACACCACACTGTTTTATCCCACTGAGCTGCTTTGTGGTTGTTGTGGTTTTTCTTCACCCAGCAACAAGACAAAAACATAAATAAAGGAAAAAGTGCTCGTGGATGCAAACATTTTGATGAGACTTCAGGCTTCAGATTGTCAACGGCAAATTTGTCCCTGTTCTGCAGTGAGTTTGAGGCCAGAAATCTGGTTTTGGTACAAATGTGGGATCTCTGGCACGGGGGATTTCAGCACAGGGGGATTTTAGTCCCCATTAGACCTTTCAAGGCTCTGGGGAGACTCCAAAATGGGAAATTCTTGAAATTATTTTAGTGCCTCCCACTTTGGGGTGGTTGTCTGGAAAGTTGCTGTTCTACCCTTTATTTTGATTTATTTCCTCTATCCTCACAGTCCCATATTCTGTAAACACAGAGCACCTGCTGACACCAACATTTTAATGAATAAATTGTATTTTTCCTGAACAGTTTGAGAAAACCACTGTCCATTCCTGATTTTCTTCTTTTGTTGTTTTTTTTTGTTTGTTTTCCAGGGTGGTGAAGGAAGAGATCTCAGATGACAATGCAAAGCTCCCTTGCTTCAATGGAAGAGTGGTGTCCTGGGTATGTTGGATTTTGTGTGTGGAAATCTGTGTTGTTTGATACTGGCAGCTGATTTTTAGATCCTGTTCTTGCTGGGATTAAGATACACAAGGAAATAGTAGTAAAGTAACTTTATAGGAGTTTTTCCAACTGCACAGTTGGTACAAAGTTGGAATTCTCAGGTGGAATGAGCAGCTTTTCTCCATTCCTGTGCTGATTTTAGGAGTTGAAGATCTTGCTCACTTTTCTTACAACTTTTTTATATTTTAACTCTTTTAATATTTTAACTATTTAAATATTAACTATTTAAATATTTTAACTGTTTTATCCCTTAAAATATTTTAGCAGCCCAGACATTGAAGTCAGACAGGATAAGGACATTTGCTGCCCGCCGAGCAGCTTGACCTTTCCCAGCCTGGCTTTTTGTAGGCAGGATTACATGGAAATAACACAAAAAATCAAATACAGGATTGATTGCACGCTGTTTCCTGCATGCAAGGAAAAGTGCAGCGTGTCTTTGACGCCTGGCTTTGGCTGGGAGATGCTTCCTAAGCAAAGATTCCTTGTGGATGAGCAGGCACAGCCCCTGCTGGGCTCCCAGCAGCTGGACCTGAGCTCGGAGCTCAGCTGGGTCACACAAAACCAGCCAATTCTTCCTGCTCCATTGATTGCTTTTCGTTTTAGGGCACTCACATTCTGGCAGCTGGGTAGTCCCAACAGGTTTTTAGTGTTAGGCAAGCAAAACACGTGGCTTTGTAAAGCTGAGTTTAAAATCAGTCCTCCCACACACACCCAAATGGGTATTAAGCACTCAGTAGATTTTGTATTAATTGAGGTTTTAAAAATCGGGATTGTCAGTCTGTGCTGTCCAAAAGTAGCTGTTTGTTCCTGGGAATTGTGTTCAGAAGGAAAAGTTACTTTATTTCCTTTTTTTTAGGACCTCCCTACCTGTTTTTTACCTTTGTGCTCCAACCTTTTGCCCCAGCAGCAGTAGCTGACTAATAACCAGCGTGGCTTTTCCAAGAGCTCAGCCGTGCATTTCCTCACAGCAGGGTCAGAATGCTCGGCTGGGGCATGGAGGAGTGTTTGAAAGCTTTATTTTGGTTTAAAGCTACATTTCTGATCTAGTTCCCGTCTAAAGCTGGGCAGTGCTCAGAGAAAGGAGCACCACTTGCCTCTAGGAAAAAAGAGAAGATTCCCTGGATGAGCAAATTGGTTGTCAAAGGAATAAAAACCATTGGCATTAGAGAATCAAACTGATGTTGAAACAAACAGAGAATGTTTGAGAGCTGAGGATCCATCTGCAGACAGCACCACTTTCTTAATTTCACCAATTACTTCCTTTCTTAATGAGGTTGTGTCTGTTTTTAGGTGGAGATGGGATTTGGGATGGGGATCACTGCTCCAGGAGGATTTGCGATGGGGATCACTGTTCCAGGAGGATCTGGGATGGGATCAGTGCTCCAGGAGGATTTGGGATGGGGATCAATCACTGCTCCAGGAGGATCTGGGATGGGATCAGTGCTCCAGGAGGATCTGGGATGGGGATCAATCACTGCTCGAGGAGGATCTGGGATGGGATCAGTGCTCCAGGAGGCCCATCCTGGTGTCCCCTGGGTGCCCCGAGGTTCTGGGCTGGCTGCAGGCTCAGCGCTGCTGGCTTTGCTGCTCTCAGGGTGCCCCGAGCCCCGGGTGCTCTTTGTGTCCCCAGCCCAAGGATCGCAGCGGGGCCGGGCATGGGGCTCTGCCAGGCTGGGAAGGGATGGCACAAAAAGGGATCTCATGTGTGATTAACGAGCTGAAAAGAGAATCCCAAAAGCTGCAGATGAAGCAGGGCAGGAAATGGAGGTGGGATTTGTGCTGGCCTGGCCTGGGAGCAGCATCACTGACCAGCTCTGTGTCCCTGGGTGGTCACAGAACCCCCTGAGAGGCTGCCCTGGAACAGCGTTAAAGAATAAAATAGGGATGTATTAATTATTTGGGGTTTAATATTAATTCTTGGTAATTTATTATGTTAAATTATTATATAAATACTATTATTATTTTCTTTAATGGAGCCTTTTTTGTGTGCTGGAGTGAATTTTTTCCTGCTGCTCAGGGTGAGTTACAAACCCCCCCAGTCCTGCAGAGCCAGCACAGGCTGGAGGAAGCTGGCTTGGATTTTTTCCTTCAAAACTCGATTTTTTTTCCTGCTTCCCACCCATCAGCTCCCCAGTTTCTGCTGCTTTGGAGCTCACAAAATGCACTTTTTGCTGATGCTTGTTGACAAGGGTTTCTGTTCGGCAATCAGCTGGAACATCTGTGTCTGACCTGCGTGATGAATTGCAAATGACTTTTTCCACACTAACACCCATAAAATTGCAGGGCTTATCTGCCTCGATTTGCTGCTAATTACTGCAGGAGTTTTATGTAAATCTCACTGGATGTTAATTGTTCCCCTTCGAATTTTTTAATATCCCATTCACTGGGACTTAACAGATAATTGCACACAAATCTTCCAGGGGTAGCAAAGTTGGGTCTTTACCTTTTAGAAATATATATCTATATCTTATATTTATATTTATATTTATACACACACTTTTTTTGGTATGTTTTGGCCAGGATTATTTCTTTATCTGTTTATTTATTTTTTTTTAACTGGCCCTGAGCTTCCTTTGTCCCCAGTGCTATAAGATGTGTGTCAGCTGCTGGGAGGCAGCTTGGGATTCTTGCACAGACCCGTGTGTGAGGACGGTTTGCTGCTGGCCATGACTGCAGCGTGTGCCACACGTGTAAAAACGGCAAAATTCAATGTACACCCCCCAGCTGAGCCTCCTCTTCCCCCTCGTCTCCTCCTGAGGCCACTTTGAAGTTTCCACAGCGCTGCCGTGGGGAAATGGGAGATTTTCATCTTTTTTAACACCATTTGAATCCTTCTGTTTGTCACAGGTGGGAACTTTGATCCGGGTGTCATCTGCAGCAATGATTTCCATAGGGGAAAATATTCCAAAAAATCCTGCAGGTCTTTCCTTTGGCTGCCCTGAGAGCTCCGTGTGCAGCTGGATCAAAATCATTTTAATTCGCTGCTGAATTAAAATCCCTGCTGCTAATTAGCTATTTCAACTTCCTCCCCAGCCCTCCTGTGTGCTGCTTGTTTTCCTCCTCCACATCTCAGATCTTTCTTTTGATTTCAGCCCGGGTTTGTTTTTCTTCTTGTGTGTTTTTGGTTCTTTTCGCTGTTGTTTTTTGTTGTTGTGGTGTTTTTTAAGCATGAAATAATTTGGGACAGAGCTGCTGCTCCTTTCTACATTCCTTTGTAAGGAATTCTTTAAAATCCTTAAAAATCCTTTTTTCCTTTGGTTGACCTTTAATTTTTTTTTACACAATACAGAGGCTATCATTAATTGCATGTCAGAATTCTTAATTAATTACATTAATTGCATTTACACAAACACATCTTCTGCCAGAAATAGCTGATATTTGTCCTGTTTTTCTAACATACAACCCAGAATATAATTTTTCCCTGGGAATTATTTATTTGTAGTTTTCTGGGACTGCTTACCTGAATGAAATTATTAATGCAATTTTGCTTTTTGCCTTTTTATTTTTGGGCCTTAACTGGACAATTCGAAAAAAAAAAAAAAAAGGTGGAAGAAAATATTTTACTGCAATGAATTAAAATGTTTTTCCCTTCTCTTGGGAAAAAGTGGGATGGTGGAAGCTGGGAGTGTGGCAGGAATTGGTCTGTGGCTGCTGCCAGCTCTGTTATCTCTGTTTTTTAGGAAGGATTTGCAACATCTGGGAACAATTCCTTGCCTGGCTGCTGGGAATGTGCAGTTCCCCATTGGCTGCCAGTGATGTCACTGCTTTCTGTGAGGTTTTCCCTGCTTTTTCCTCCCCATTATCTGGGTGCCAGCAGATAATTCTTGTCCTGTTTGTACATCAGCTTTTTACAGGCTGTATTTGCAATTCTAATTAACGCCGTGGTGGGGCAGAACCGTTTGACAAGGGCAGCACAGGAGCTCCAGGGCTGGGAAATGAAAAATAAAAATGCTCAGAGCTGAGGCAGGGAATAAAAATCCCCAGGAGCAGAATCTTGGATGAAATGAGCTGATTTCAGGGCCAGTCTCTTCACACTTTATATAAACCCTCGCTCATCCCAAGCCTCATCTCAGCATAGACAATTTCTCCTTGGTCAAATAAATACAATATTCCTGATGAGGTTTTTGCAGAGGTGAGGAGTCCTGGTGCCTTTGGGGGAATTCCTGGTGGAGCACAGCTCTTTTCTGCAATTGCTCCTTTGGGAGCAGCCTGGTGTGGATGATGGGGCACAGCTCTGAAGCTTTGACTTGGGATTTGAGAAATTATGGGAAATGATTACTTGCAGCTCAGAGATGAATGTGGCTGTTGTGAAGTTGCTGTCAAAAATATAAATGGCTCTTTTGGGTGTTTCTTTAGTCACTGGGATGCCTTGGGAAGGCTGAGCTAGAACAGAGTTAAAGAATAAAGCAGGGATTTATGAAAAGGATCTCCTCCATGGATCCACCTTGGGCAGCACAAGAGCCCAGCCAGGGCTGCACCCAAGAGGAACCCAAATGGTCCCAAAACGAACAAAAGATGAACCAAAATGGTCCCAAAAGGAACCCAAGATGAACCAAAATGATCCCAAAATGAACCCAAGGTGAAACAAAATGGTCCCAAAACGAACCCAAGATGATCCCAAAATGGTCCCAAAGTGAACCAAAATGATCCCAAAAGGAACCCAAGATGATCCAAAATGGTCCCAAAAAAATGGATAATCAATCACAAATTCTGAAATCTGTCTCAGGTTCAAGGCTGGCAATGAACTGATGGAAGTTTCAGGGTTTCTTTTCCTCAGTGCAGCTGGAGGATCAGGAATGGGCCATTCCTGCAGCCCTCTCCCCCTGGAATGGCTCCAGTCCCACTGCAGACCAGGAAGAAATGGGCTCCCCGTGCTTCATCCTTGAGGAAATCCCACCCCATTCACCAGGAGATGCTTTGCTGCAATGGATTTTCATCCCAAACTCCTGCACAATCACTTCTGCCCTGCCAAAGCTTCTTCCTCCAGGGGCAGGGAGATGCTGGACAGCAAATATCCCAAAACATGCAAATGGTTTGTGTTGTTGGCTCCTCCTAGTTGGCTCCTCCTTCCTCAGCAGGAAGCTTTAAAGAACATTTTTTCCTGCTCCCAAATTCCTCTGCCTTGTTTTGCATCCCCAGCCCGGAGTGTGAAGGCTGAGGGAATGTTTTAGATCTTTCCTACACCCACTTTGGGTTTGTTTTTGTTTTTGGTTTTTTTTCTTTATATCCCTTGGTTAGATTTTTACTGCTGAAAATGATTCCTCAGGGAATCTTCCAGGCTCAGAGCCATCCTTGCACCTCCAGAACACCAAGACACTTCCTCAACACCTCCCTTGAACCTCCCCACCTGGCAGAAAGCAGCTTTAATTATCAAATTATTGGCAAAGCTGCTGTTATTTTTCCCCTTCAGTGTTTCCTCTCTTGTTCCTGCTTTGGTGATAAGAGTTTGAATAATGCAGCTGCTGCCTGTGCTGCTGGGGAGCTGCTTTATCTCCAGGCAGCTCCTTTTTGACAGCCTGTGTGTGTTTTCCTCCTCATATTTATGGTTTTTGCTCCTTGGAGTAATTCCCTGCATCCTCAGTGCCACTTCCCTCCTCTCCATCCCCTTGTTGATCATTATATTAGAGTGAATCCTTAATAAATGAACCAGTTAAGAGTTGGAATATCTCCTGCTCTGCTTCTTCCACACCTAAAAATACTATTTTAAAATTGAAATGAAAATGTAAAATTTTAATTTAATTGAAATCTAAAATTTAAGTTAAAATTAACTTTAAAATGTTACTTTAGCTTCTCCCACAGCTAAAAAGAAAGACAAACTGAGATCTTGTTGCTTCTTAGTGAAAGGTATCAATCTGTATAATTAATTGAGGATTTACTGAATTAAAGTTGTCCAGAACTGGAATTTGGGATAATTCCCAAGGATGGGGAATGCTGTGGCCAGGCCCTTGGTGTTTGGAATGAGGAACTGGATCCTTGCAGCATCTGTAATTCCATTTTTCCATTCTGAGTGCCATTTTTCCATTCTGGGTGCCATTTTTCCATCCTGGGAATATTGATATTGTTAATATTGCCATCCTGCCTTGTCCAGGACTGGAATTTGGGATAATTCCCAAGGGTAGGGAATGTTGTGTACAAGTCCTTGTTGTTTGGAATGAGGAGCTGGATCCTTGCAGCATCTGTAATTCCATTTTTCCATCCTGGGAATATTGATATTGTTAATATTGCCATCCTGCCTTGTCCAGGACTGGGATTTGGGATAATTCCCAAGCACTCCACAGGAGAGTTCCTGGTGCTTGCAGGGGTTCTGTGCCATCCAGGCTGCTGATGTTTTCACGTGGAGCCTGAATTTAACCTGATTTTCTGCAGCTTTGGCAGCAATCCCCGCTCTTCCCCTCAGATCCCGGGATTTTGGCTGAACACTTGGAGGAGCTGGTGGGATTTTGAGGATGTCATTTTGTGTAATTCTGGGTTATTTTCTTTTGGCAGCTGGTCCTGGCTGAGAGCTCCCACTCTGACACAGGCTCCCAGTGCACCGAGAGCCACGTGGAGCTTCCCCCAGCCCTGGAGAGGACAGGAGGCATCGGAGACTCCCGGCCCCCCTCCTTCCAGTAAGCCCCAGTTTATTCAGCAGATTCTCATTTATCAAATTGATTTATCAAATGCTCATTCCCATCTATTTCTCACCCTCATTTCCCTTCCTGCTGCAAGCCAACTGCTTGATTTTTATAAAAATCAAATATTGAGGAATTGAAAGGGAATGGGACTGAAAAACCCCTGTCCAAAATATCTCATTTTTCCAGCCTCCATCATTCCAGTAAGCTCAAATTCCCATTGATTTATTATTGATTTATTCCCATCTATTTCTCTTCCTGCTGCAAGCCAGCTGGTTGTTGTTCAAAATCAAATCAAATATTGAGGAATTAAAAGGAGGATGGGACTGAAAAACCCCTGTCATTGGTAGAGTGAATATTTATCCAATAGGAAATATTTATCCAAAATATCTCATTTCCCATTTAATTACCAAATTCTCATTCCCATCTATTTCTCACCCTCATTTCCCCTCCTGCTCCAAGCCAGCTGTTTGATTTTTATAGAAATCAGATATTGAGGAATTTAAAGGGGGATGGGACTGAAAAAACCCTGTATTGGAAGAGTTAATATTTATCCAAAATATCTCATTTTCCCATCATTCCAGTAATTCCCATTTAATTACCAAATTCTCATTCCCATCTAATTCTCACCCTCCTTTCTCTTCCTGCTCCAAGCCAACTGTTTGTTGTTGTGATTATAAAAATCAAATATTGAGGAATTAAAAGAGAAATGGGACTGAAGTTTCCCTGTCATTGGCAGAGTGAAATATTTATCCCAAATATCTCATTTTCCAGCCTGCTGTGGATGAGTTAAGCAGGGGGGGAGCCCAGAATGCTTTTTGCAGTGTGTGGCTGACAAGTGATTAGTGTGTTCTGTGTAATTAGGGAGGCTGCAGAGCCAGCTGAAGGCTGCTGGCAGCAGGGAGAATTTCCACAAGGAATAATAATTCCTGCTCCATGTCCATCCAGAGGCTGCCAGCTCCAGCTGTGGGTGGCCAGGCTGGGAATATCTGCTTTGATAATTGTTATTTCCTCTTCCTGATCCTTAGGATATCTTCATTTTCCAGGGAATTTCCACCAGGAAAAAATTCCTCCTTCCAGCAGGAGGATTTAAAGCAGGGCCTTGTGCTCTTAGGCTGTGTTTGGAGAAGGAAATATGGCCTAAATTTGCCTTTTTTTCTTTTTTTTTGGGATGGCTGTTGCCTGGAAGGGCTCTCAGTGTTGTGAGTCTTTTTAAAAAAAACCTTTTAGAGGAGACAAGAAATGCTGGGAAATTCTGGCAGTGCCTTGCAAGGGCTGTGCTGCCCTCCTGTGTTCTGATCGGGCCAGAAAATAAAACCAGGCTTTTGTCTTTCCTGCCCTAAACCTGCCCGCACAGCTGCCACCTCCAGCTTTGTTTAAAAAAATAATTAACTGGTAATTAAGCACGAGCTCTGTGGGTCCAGTGCCCTGCTGGTCCTCCTGCTTCTTCCAGAATATTCCAAATATTGCAGGGAAAAAGTGGGAATGCTCTGTGGGCTCAAGGACATGGCTCAGGTTGTGTTTGCTGTTCCCATTCCCAAATAAATCTGCTATGATATCTTATAATATCTATAATGTATAAATAGAAAATATGCTATACATATTTTCTAATTGTTAATATACTAAAATTATTAATATATAATTTATATTTTATAATATATAATATATACTATATATTATATAAATTATAAATTATAAACTGTGAATTATATATTATATATTATATAATATATATTATATATTCTATATTATATATCATATATTATATATTTATATAAAGTATTTACATTTTTATATAAAAAATATTAATATATTATAGATAATATTAAATTACAGTTTACCTTGTAACAAAACTTATAACTACTCTTAAACTATAACCAACTTCTTGCTCCTCTAAAATTCCTACTCACAACCTCTAAAATTCATGTTTATGTGAGCAAGAAATAATTTTTAACTCACTGACAGTCCCATCCTTCATTGCTAACAATAACAGTGAATTTCCTGCTCTGCTGCTGCTTTTTTGGGGTTTGCCAAATGCTTTTGGTGCTGGAGGTGCAGGGTGAGGTGAGAAATGGAAATGGAGCTGCATTTCATGTATAATTTATTTATATATTATATATTATATTGTATTATATGTATTTATTTATATATTATATATATGTATATATTATATATTTTTATATATTTATTTCTATATTTGATTTATTAAATTAAAAATTAATAAAAAGAATTAAAATTTAATTTATAATATATAATTATATTTCTATATTATATATTTATATATATTTATTTCTATTTATTTAATTTATTAAATTAAAATTTAATAAAAATAATTAAAATTTAATTTATAATATATAATTATATTTCTATATTATATATTTATATATATTTATGTCTATATTTATTTAATTTATTAAATTAAAAATTAATAAAAAGAACTAAAATTTAATTATATAATAACAAAATTTAAAAAATAATTAATGATTAATTATTACCCCCCTCAGCACTGGGTTCTCTTTTCACTCCTCAGGTGGTTTTTTGGGTTTTCTTTTCACCCCTCAGGTGGTTTTTTGGGCAAAAAGAACTAAAATTTAATTATATAATAACAAAATTTAAACAATAATTAATGATTAATTATTCCCCCCCTCAGCACTGGGTTTTCTTTTCACCCCTCAGGTGTATTTTTGGGTTCTCTTTTCACCCTCAGGTGTTTTTGGTTCTCTTTTCACCCCTCAGCTGGTTTTTTGGGTTTTATTTTCACCCCTCAAGTGGTTTTGAGGTTCTCTTAAATTATAAATTATAAACTGTGAATTATATATTATATATTATATAATATATATTATATATTCTATATTATATATCATATATTATATATTTATATAAAGTATTTACATTTTTATATAAAAAATATTAATATATTATAGATAATATTAAATTACAGTTTACCTTGTAACAAAACTTATAACTACTCTTAAACTATAACCAACTTCTTGCTCCTCTAAAATTCCTACTCACAACCTCTAAAATTCATGTTTATGTGAGCAAGAAATAATTTTTAACTCACTGACAGTCCCATCCTTCATTGCTAACAATAACAGTGAATTTCCTGCTCTGCTGCTGCTTTTTTGGGGTTTGCCAAATGCTTTTGGTGCTGGAGGTGCAGGGTGAGGTGAGAAATGGAAATGGAGCTGCATTTCATGTATAATTTATTTATATATTATATATTATATTGTATTATATGTATTTATTTATATATTATATATATGTATATATTATATATTTTTATATATTTATTTCTATATTTGATTTATTAAATTAAAAATTAATAAAAAGAATTAAAATTTAATTTATAATATATAATTATATTTCTATATTATATATTTATATATATTTATTTCTATTTATTTAATTTATTAAATTAAAATTTAATAAAAATAATTAAAATTTAATTTATAATATATAATTATATTTCTATATTATATATTTATATATATTTATGTCTATATTTATTTAATTTATTAAATTAAAAATTAATAAAAAGAACTAAAATTTAATTATATAATAACAAAATTTAAACAATAATTAATGATTAATTATTCCCCCCCTCAGCACTGGGTTTTCTTTTCACCCCTCAGGTGTATTTTTGGGTTCTCTTTTCACCCTCAGGTGTTTTTGGTTCTCTTTTCACCCCTCAGCTGGTTTTTTGGGTTTTATTTTCACCCCTCAAGGGGTTTTGAGGTTCTCTTTTCACAGAGTTGGTTTTTTTGGGTTCTCTTTTCATGGCTCAGGTGGTTTTGGGGTTCTCTTTTCACCTCTCAGGTGTTTTTAGGTTCCCTTTTCACCCCTCAGGTGTTTTTTAGGTTCTCTTTTCCCCTTTGCAGTGTTTTTAGGTTCTGTTTTCTCCCTGAGGTGTTTTTAAGTTCTCCTTTCCCTCCGAGATGTTTTTTAGGTTTCCTTTTCACCCCTCAATTGGTTTTTTTGGGTTCTCTTTTCACGCCTCAGGTGGTTTTGGGGTTCTCTTTTCACCTCTCAGGTGTTCTTTTGGGGTTCTCTTTTAACCCTCAGGTGGTTTCGGGTTCTCTTTCCCCCCCTGCCCTGAGGTGTTTTTAAGTTCTCCTTTCCCTCCGAGATGTTTTTTAGGTTTCCTTTTCACCCCTCAAGTGTTTTTAGGTTCTGTTTTCCCCCCTGAGGTGTTTTTTAGGTTCTGTTTTTCCCCGAGATGTTTTCTAGGTTCCGTTTTCCCCCCGAGATGTTTCTAGGTTCTCTTTCCCCCCACGAATGTTTTTAGGTTCTGTTTTCCCCCCTCAGGTGTTTTTAGGATCTCTTTCCACCCTCAGGTGTTTTTAGGTTCTGTTTTCCCCCTGAGGTGTTTTTAGGATCTCTTTCCCCCGCGGTGCCCCAGCTCCGGGCCCGTTTGCAGCGCCCACCTCGGCAGTCTGTGCCCGCTGCCCCGAGCTGCTCCCGGCTGGGGCTGCGTGGCTGGGAGAGGGAAAAGCAGAATAGCCAGTGACTGTCCGCTCGTGCTCTGTGGCAGCCCCAACGCCGGCAGCAGCAGGGACGGCCTGGACAACGAGACGGGAACCGAGTCCGTCATCAGCCACCGGCGCGAGCGGCACCGGCGCCGCAACCGCGAGGGCCACGAGGACGGTGAGTGCCTCCTCTTCCTCCCCTGACATCTTCCCGGGCCACGGGGACGGTGAGTGCCTCCTCTGCCTCCCCTGACATCTCCCCTGCCCACGGGGACGGTGAGTGCCTCCTCTGCCTCCCCGGCCCACGGGGACGGTGAGTGCCTCCTCTGCCTCCCCTGACATCTCCCCTGCCCACGGGGACCGTGAGTGCCTCCTCTTCCTCCCCTGCCGTCTTCCTCACGCCTCCCAGGGCAGCAGCTCCTCTGGGCGGGGTGTGAGGCTCCCCAGGACGAGGTGAGAGATGAGAGTCTGGCTCCGTGCTCTCAGAAGGCTTATATTATATTATATTATATTATATTATATTATATTATATTATATTATATTATATTATATTATATTACATCATATCACATTATATTAGTATATTATATTATATTGCATTGCATCATATTATATAATATTATATTATATTATATTGCATTGCATTACATTACATCTCATCATATTATATAATATGATATGATATTATATTATATTGTTAAATTATTATATTATATCATGGCACTATATTATTATATCATTATATGGTATCATATTATATTATCTTATGATATTGTGTTATTATATGATACTATATGATGTTATATTTCATTATATTATATTACATCACATTACATTATATAATATAATATAATATTATGTTATAGTATAGTATAATATGATACTACTATTAAATTATGATATTATAATATATTATGATAATATATGATATTATATGATATGACATTAAATTATGATATTATGATATATTATTGTATTATTATATTGTATTGTGAATATATGATATGATAATATACATTATAATATAATATTATAGAATACTATACTAAAACTATACTAAAGAAAGAGAAAGGATACAGACAAAAGGCTTAACAAGAATGAATAACAAAAACTTGTGACTGACTCCTCACAGACACAGCTGATGGTGATTGGTCATGAAGTAAAAACAATTCACATGGAACCAATCAATCATGCATCTGTTTGTAAACTATCTCCAGACCACATCCAAAGCAGCCAAACACAGGAGAAGTGAATCAGATAATTATTATTTACCTTTTCCTCTGAGCTTTCTCAGCTTCCCAGGACAAGAAATCCTGGCAAAGGGATTTTTCAGAAAATATCACGGTGACACTCCTCCTCCTCCAGAGCCTCCTGGCTGCGTTCCTGCCTGCTTTCAGGGAGTCTTCATTATTATTTTAATGAAATAATTTGATAATTGCTCTGAAAGTCTTTGAAGCTCAGCGTTTTTCCCAGATACACTTCACAGTGAAGTGGCAGAGAGATTGTTTTTGACAATGTGCAGAACTTTCTGTAGCATGAGAAGATGAAGAGCTTGCCTGTTGATTTCTCAAGGTTTGGATCAGCTGTGGTGTTTTCTGCTGGTGTAACAGAGGCTCTGAAGATCTTGTTTTATACCTAAATGCACCCAAAGTGCACCTATAAAATGCAAAACTCCATCTCTTGCCTCTGGTCTTTACATCAAAGGAAGCTTGGGTTTTTTATTCATTGCCAGACAAGAATTTCCAGGCTTAATTAAGAATTAATAGGTGCCACCCATTGCGTTAAAATGGTGCAGAATTTGGAATACTTGGGCCCAAGAAATGCCATCCCAGCCTTTATTCACAGCTCCACCCACCAAAGCATTTGCCTCCAGTTAGAAGCCCAGAAATCAGATTTATATGAGGGATTGTGTTCATTTAACCCTTCCAGAGTGTCACTGATGAGGAGTGAATGGAAATCCTCAGTGGAAGGAGCAGAGAGCTGTCTGTGCATGATCCCGACTGCAAATTCCTTTGGGAACTGACAGAAAGAGGCAAAATCCTCTCACAGTGTTGATTAAAAACTTAATCAACAAGAAGAATGTGAAAAGGGGAGTTGTTTTAAGCATTAAATCAGTGCCAGGGCATGTTTTGCTCTGGATATCTTTGGCATAAGCGCTGCTGTTGGTTGATGGAATTTTTTGAGCACTGGAGTGGTCTGAAATCAATTCATGCATTTCCCTTGAGAAGGAAATGGGATGAAATTTCCTGTTTTTACCAAAGCCCAGGCAAGACCCTGTCACAAACAGTGTTCTCTGAATTCAGGCCTTCAGCCTGCAGCAGGTGAGTTCTGTCAGTGTGCATAAAGCAAGGAGAGCTGCTTTAAAAGACGTTATTTAATGTCCATGGTGTCTCTGTGGTCATAACAATATTTCATTTAGCAGTAACAACATCCAGTACACATAGCACCACCAGGAGTGTGTTGTTTTCAGTGGACAGCAGATTTAAAATGCACAGTTCAGCTCTGTGTCCTGAACTGCTGCTTGACAACACTAAAAGAAGTGAAATACCCTAATCCTGGGCAGGATTTTAAGGACTTTTCATAACAATGATCACAGGATCACTCTTTTCTTGCACCTGCTAGTCTTGTCTGGATGGAAAATGGGGGAACAGCCCTAGGAAAAGGGGGACAAGGATGGGGAAAGGGCTGTGACACCTGGATCCCAGCTGTGCCAGGGCCAGCAGCTGTGTGCTGGGAAAATCCTGCTGTCCCTGCAGGAGGCAGGAAATGCAGTGGGAGTGTTTGATGTGCTCCTGCAGAAACTCGTTTGAATAATGCCCAAATGACAGCCCTGGTGCTTGGCAGAGGGGCAGGGTGAGGGATCTCCTGCAGCTCTGTGTTACTCACAGCTTTGTGCCAGGGGATTTATTCCAGAGGCTCAGGAACAGCTCACCCAGCTGGACAATTTGGAACTGTTTGGTGCAAAGAATCACCCAGCCTGGCAAAGAGGATTTCCCTGGGTTCCCTCAAGGGAAAGGAGTTCTTGTTCCACAGGAAAACAGGGGCAGGGTGTTCCAGCCTTCATTTCAAACAGGTGAAGTGGGAAAAGGTGTGAAGGAGCCATTTGGGAACAGAGAAACACTCAGCTGGAACCTGAACAGGTCAAACAGGCTGAGCCCAGAGCACTGGAATTGAGAGGTTCCACAGAATGAAAGTTGGGAAAACCCCAACTTTAAACACTAAACAAAGATTTTATGTGCTTCTCTCCATTTTACTTTATAAAAATTGTTTCCTGATTTTACTGTGAAACGTTGCCAGCTTTCAGTCTGGGTTTGAAGTGCAACAAGATCCTTGCAGAGGTTTGGTTTGGAGCTGGGGTGATGGTGAACTCCCCAGGTTGTGCAGTGGGTGATAACGAGCAGCGTGGTACCGTGGGGGGATTGTTCAGCACAGCTCTGGATGTTTCCCTTCATTCCTGCAGGATTGCTCACCCCAAAAAAGCTGTTTCTGCTGAATTGCTGCTGGGCAGTTCCACACACACAGTGATAAATGTTGATTGCAGCTGGAAGCTGTGGGACACATCTGGGTGATCTGACAGCGTTTTCACACCTCTATCCATTAAAAATGCAGAAGGATTTGGGGTTTCCCTAAGCTCTTCCCATTTCCCTTAAATTGTATTCCTGTTTTAATTGCACAGACAGTGAATCTCCCATCTGTGCTTGTATATTCTCTGATTTTAAAATAATCCCCACAAAGATGATGGCTTGAAGAATGTAATAAAACTCTTTTTTTGAAGCTGTGTGACACTGCAGATAAAAACACCAGGAAAACCTCAAGGAAAACCGATCTGGAAAAATAAATCAAGATGCCAGAGCTCCCACTTTTCAAACAACACAAGTCCTCATTGCTTTGGGAGGCTGACAAAGTTCTTATTAAGTGAAAGTAGAGTGAGGAAATTAATGAGGGTGGTGGGAGGTCTGCCTGGCACATGTTGTGGGGACCCCTGGCTGGGAGGAACAAAGCTCCCGTGTCAGTTTGCTGAGGAGGAGTGGGAAAGGGGACTGTGGAAGCTCTAATTAGGGAGGTAATTAAGGGACAAGAGGGGTTTTTTTGGGTGTTGAGGAATGTTTTATAGCTGCTGCTGGGTTTCTGACGAGTCTGCAGATGTCAAGTGTCGACGCTGAGGTTTCAACACCCGCTTTGCTGTGGGGTGAACTTAACTCTTGTGCAGCCACTGAGAAATGCCTGGGCCTGGAGAGCTCCTCGTGTGGGCAGGCTCACAGATCCCAAATGTCTGTCCTGGTCCTGGTGGAGATGGTCACAATACAAACACACTCCATTTTCAGAAGGCTTGGAGCTTTTATTATAGCATGTATGCTTTTTATACATTCTTACAAAGCTCATAATTTACACTTCACTCATTGGTCAGGAAGCACAAACAAAGTGCAGGTTTCTCTTATTTGTGGTAATCACATATCCTCTGAACAGAGAGAGACATAGCTCTCCCAGGATTTTCCTGGGAAGCTGTGAGAAAACTTAGAGAAAAGAATTAAAACAATTATTATCTCAGTCTCTGTTTGTCAAAGATGTTTACAAGGAGCTGTCCCTTCTTGACCAGTAGGTGAGAGAAGATTCCTAAAAGCCAATCAGGTCTTAGGTCCACCATTGTTTCTATAAGATTTCTAATAATAAAGTGCTTTTCATACCTTCTGATAATGCAGTGTTTGTATCACCTTTGGCTGTCCCCAATTTCCCTTTGGTGACACTTATTTATCCTTTTTCTTTCTTGGTTTCCATGTCAGTGACCTTGGTAGGAAATTCTTCCAGGGAATAAACATGGATCCTCTTCTCAAACTTCTCTCTGGCTCACTGTAAAACCTCTCCCACACCTCCCCAGTGCTGTAACACTCCTTTCCTGTTCTCCTGCAGCCCCCAGGATCAACGGGCACCCCAAGCTGGACAGGCACCGGGAGCACCCCCCTGGCTACGACAGCTCCTCCACCATGCTGAGCAGCGAGCTGGAGTCCAGCAGCTTCATCGACTCCGAGGACGACGACAACACCAGCAGGTACTGCCCTCAGGGCCTCAGCTCTGGGCACCTGCTTGGGCTCTTCTCAGTCCACCTTCTCTTTTTTTTTGTGGATTTTTTTGTTTGGTTTGTTTGGGTTTCTTTGTGGTTTTTTTTTTTTTACCATCCCATAATATGAACCCAGACCCACACACTAAAGCAGCACAAAATGTGAAAAATAGAAAAGCCAAAACCTGAGGCATCAATTTGAGCACAGGTCCTTCATCAGTGACATCACTGTGTGGGATCACTGCTCAGTTTCTGGGTCCAGGCTCTGGGCCCAATATATAAATCTATGAGTTATATCTCTAAGCTATAGCTAAAGATATTTTTGTTTTTCTTTAGGAAGTCTTTAACTCTGTTATTGGGTCCAAACCACTGCTCCAGTTGAAAGAAAAGCTCTGCTCCTCTCCTTTTCATAGCAAGAATGGCCACATTTCCAGATCAAAGCACTCTGCCTACCTATTTATGAAGCAGTGGTGTGAATATTAAAGCAAAATACTGTCAGCAGAGATTCCTAATAAGTGTGCACTTCACTGGAGCTCAATTATAGAGGAATTCCTGGGTAATTGCATAGTCTGAGACCTATGAGCAGTTCAGGAATTCATCAAAGTTAATGCTGGTGCAAAGGCAGCCTGGGCTGCCATGGATTTGTGGCTTCTTCATTATTTCTTTCTTTCTGTGTAGGCAGAGTGTGTGAATGATTCCCTACTTGAAAAATACCTCTCATTTCAAGGCATCTTTGTTATATCTAAAGATTTTTTTGTTTTTCTTTAAGAAGTCTTTAAGCCAATACATTTCATGGCTTCAAAATACTTATTTTCATGGATGTAAAACAAATTTAAAGTATTTTCCTTCCTTTTTCCTGGCCGCATTCTCTGGAATATTCTTCATTTTCCTGGCCGTTGGCTCTAGAGCTGTTGTTCATCCCAGTGGACTCTGAAAATCCAGTATGGATTTGTCAGAGGACAACAGGGTGACAGATCTCTGGTGGGTCCCAGGGATCTGCAGATAAAAAAGGCAGAACATGAGATTTTTAATAAAAACAGCAAAAAGCAACTACTCCTGGAGATCCTGAACCCCTTGCTGTGTTTACAGCCATGATCAGTTTATGGATCTTGGTGAATCTGTTGGGTCTTGCAGTTGGTCAGGGTTTACAGACCTCACAATTCTGATTAAAGTTTGAGTGTTTCCAGAGGGCTGAAAGGGTAACTAAAATTCACGTTGGAGATTTGGTCCTGAATTGGTTTCAAGAACTTATTTTGCAGTCCCAGTGAAGTGCAAAGTGTCCCAGCACATGGCAGGGGTTGGAATAAGATGAGTTTAAGGCCCCTTCCAACCCAAACCATTCCATGATGAGATATAAAAAATCACCTTTCTGGGTATTTACCTGCGTGGAGGGTTGGTCCTTAACCCTGAATGCACCAAAGCCTTCAGGGCTTTGAGCCCACAACAACAACAAAACCCTGCAGCTGATTTGTGTTTCTTATTCTTCTTGGGGTAAATAAATGAATAATTTCCCTGGCAGCAATGCAGTGGGGCAGGATTAGCTCAGGGTGACCACATTAGAGCAGACCCAGCGAAATTTTTGTGTCTGAATAAAATAATAATAAAACTTCCTGAGTCTGACCTGAGAAGAAAGAGATTCTTGGAAGCTGCTGCTCCTGCCTTTCCCTCTGGAGATTGGGCAGGAGTTTTTGGCACAGGAGGAGCTGCCAGGCCAGCTAGTCAGGAAGAACCACTCGAAGGAATGCTCCAAGGTATGCTGTTGTGTTCCAGGGATGATGTTCTCAGGCACGGGAGACTTTGTGCTGGCAGGGAGAAGTTTTCTGTAGAGGCAAATCAGGCAAAGAGCAAATGGAGAAGGTTCCAGAGCTGCTGGAGGCATCAGCCTGGGGACAGAGGAGGGGTCTGAGGGGTGAGTTTGGGTCTTGAGGGACACGTCAGTGTGGGGACAGAGGGTTTGGTTCCTGAGGGACACATCCCTTGGGGACAGAGGGGTCTGAGGAGTGAGTTTGGGTCCTGAGGGACACGTCAGTGTGGGGACAGAGGGTTTGGTTCCTGAAGGACACATCCCTTGGGGACAGAGGGTCTGAGTGGTGAGTTTGGTTTGTGACAGCTGATGGACACATCCCCTGGGGACAGAGGGGTCTGAGGAGTGAGTTTGGTTTGTGACAGCTGATAGACACATCCCCTGGGGACAGAGGGGTCTGAGGGGTGAATTTGGGTCCTGATGGACACATCAATGTGGGGACAGAGGGTTTGGGTCCTGATGGACACATCAGTGTGGGGACAGAGGGTTTGGTTCCTGGGTGTGGGGACAGAGGGTTTGGTTCCTGTCTCCCCTGGGGATTTGGGTCCTGATGGACACATCAATGTGGGGACAGAGGGTTTGGGTCCTGATGGACACATCAGTGTGGGGACAGAGGGTTTGGTTCCTGAGGGACACATCAGCGTGGGGACAGAGGGTTTGGGTCCTGAGGGACGCATCAGTGTGGGGACAGAGGGTTTGGTTCCTGAGGGACACATCCCCTGGGGACAGAAGGGTCTGAGGGGGGACTTTGGCTCCTGGACACATCCCCTGGGGACAGAAGGGTCTGAGGGGGGACTTTGGCTCCTGGACACATCCCCTGGGGACAGAGGGGTCTGAGGGGTCAGTTTGGTACCTGAGGGACACATTCCCTGGGGACAGAGGGGTCTGAGGGGGGACTTTGGCTCCTGGCAGCTGGTGGGATCTGCTGCAGGAGCTGCTTTGTGGGGAGGCTGTCAGGGAGGAGGCACTGAGGCAGGAAATCAGAGGGAAGGGACGTTGCTGTCCTGGCAGGGGAGAGTTTGTGAGGTGAGGATGCTTTTCTGGCTCTGTTTGGCTTGGTTTTATTGGAATGGGAGCAGTGGAACAGAGCTGGGTAATTCCCAGCCCAAGGAAGTTCTGCTGCATTCAGTTAAAGAATAATGCCATGTTTTGGTGAATTAACCTGCTCACAGACATTCCAGAGTGACAGTGGCAGCACAATCATTTATTTCCTTTTTTTTTCAACGTGTTTGACAATTTTTTTACTAATTTTTTAACAAATTTTTTACAAATTGAATGTTTCTGTTGTTTGCAGATAGGATTTTGAGCACAGGTTGATGTAGGCAACATCACAGTAAAAGCTTTTTTTCTGTCTTCTCTAAAGGTCTAACAAATCTGGCATCTGTAGCTGGAGGATTATTGTCAGCAATTGCTGCTCTCAGTTCAATGCAACTAAAGGAATTCACTGCAAAAAAATTGTTTATTTCTCATTTAAGAAATTACCATAATTTCTTTTTAAGCCATGTGGATAAGATTTCTTTAACAAATGTTGCCTTTTTTCCCTGTCCTTTGGGAATTGTAGAATGGAGAAAAAATTATTGCTATTATTATTATTATTATAGTATTTTAAAAAATATTTTCTGTGGTATTTATTGGCATTTGTGCTGGAAGTGCAGTCAGGGTTTTGAGCAGTAGCTGGTGCAGAAAATTAATTGGTAGTGATAGTTCCAGATTTGTTTTTCATCTTTGCACTTTATTTGTCTCAAAAGCTCAAATTTACCATCTTGTCTTGCTCATCAGATGGTAATAATAACAACTTCTACCCAGTATTTCTGGAGCTCATGCTTCACAGAGCAAAACATTCCTCATTAGAGTAGGTTTGAGCTGCTTTTTAGCATCCAGATGCTCCCAGAATATTAAGGATTCAGCAAGGATGCATTAAGGCTGTGGATTGAGCAGAAATCACAAGGAGAGATGATGGAATGTGCCACAGCTGCATGAAAAGAGGTGTAAAAATGTTCTTGCAGAGCCTTCTGATCATCAGTTTTGTGCTGCTGCTGTGAGAGGCTGTTTTAACCCTTAATTTTTCCCTGAAATGTTTTGTGTCCCCCTAAACTAAACCGGAGCTTTTCTCAGGAGCTGATTCTCATCCTTCCATCCTAATACCGAGCAGAATGGCAAAAATACACCAAGAACAACTTCACTTCTCACATGTTATCACCTGCTAACAGGAGCTCAGAGATTTGCCAGGAAAGTCTGGTTTTGCTGGTTTAATTTGAGAGAAAAATGCACTTTTAGAGAGCAGGCAGCTTCACTGTGGAGTGAGTGCCTTGGCTTTCCTCAGATTCTCCCAAACTGGGAAGTTCTAGCTGAATCCTCTGCTGAGGGAAGGAGGAGAAGGAAATGGGAGAAGAAGCAGGAAGGGGGAGAATATTGACAGCAAAATGAAAGGAGGTTTTTGTGTCAGTCTTTGATGAATATTGAACAATCCCAGTTTTGGGAGCCCTGGGTTTGACACCTCCTTATTTTTGCTGTTGGAAGGCAAAACCTCCCAGCCCCAGGTGCTGTGTGAGCTGTTCCACCCACCAGGAATTATCACATTTTGGATCTTTTTTTTGTTGTAAAATCCCACCTCTTGGCTCTTCAGTTCCCCTTGCTGGGAGGGGAAGGAGGAGTGTGTGAGGTTAACGTGCCTGAAATAGTTGTGTGAACTCGAGGGAATGTCAGGAGATTCACACCCTCTGAGCAGCTCCAGGGCTGATACTTGATAAAAATATTTCAGGCCAGAGGGGTTTCCTGTGAGCAATTCCTTTTTGGAATTGCTGGCATCAAGTTTTTGAGGTATTCTCACATTCCTGCATGTGGCTGGAGCATGGAAGGCAGGGTTGTGGAAACTGGGGGGAAAGCCTGGCACTGCTTGTTTTGTGTTGTATAAGGTTGGATTTTTTAATCTTGGTTAATGATGGAGCATTGCTTTGTCTTTTTTTTTTTTTTTTTTGGCCATTCTTACATATTAAATAGAGGAGAGATGTCTCTCTGGTGGTATCTTAATAATCTGGGCTTTGTTCCAGGCTCCTGAAATTAATTTGGGCAAATCCATTTCTGTCTCATTCTACTCTCTGCAAAGTGAGGATGATTAATCCTGCAAACTCTTAAAGACCTTAAAGATTTATATGTAAAATGTGGCACATTTAGGTTCTACAAGTTTGGAGAGCCTGGAAAAAACAGCAAAATAAAACTCAAGAGAATGTGTGAAGGTAAAATCATATTCACTCTCTCCCTGTTACCAATTTCTATTTGATTTCTTTAAATTCAAGCCTTGAATTCCTGGTAACAGTGGAAGAAAATACAGCACCATGCCAGGACTCACAAAAATGAGCATTAAGGGTTGCACTCAGACCTGCAGAAGAAAACAAGTGCTAAATTAAATAATAATTCAATTATTCATCTGATCCCTGCTGTCCTTCAGCTGGAATCCTCTCCTGAGCTGTCTGTGTGCTTCCCCCTGTCCTGCTGCTGCAGGAATCAGCTCTTGCAGGTGGCAGAGCCTTGCAGGGGTGACATTTGCTGTCCTTGCCCTCAGGTTGAGCAGCTCCACGGAGCAGAGCACCTCGTCCCGGCTCATCCGCAAGCACAAGCGCCGGAGGAGGAAACAGAGGATGCGGCAGATTGACAGGGTAAGGCTGGCACCAGCATCACCCAGGGAGGTGAACTGGCATTTTTGAGTGGAGCTGTTGACTCAGGAAGGGATCCAGGACAGGTCTGTGCCTGTTGAATTCACTGGGAAGGCTCCTTGTGGCTCCAGGCTGGGCTAAATCTCTGCATTTGAAGTTCTGCGGCTCCAAGTGAAGTTTTCACCTCTCCCTTTCTCCTTTCACTGTGCACTGATCCCATTTCTTGTCTTTTCTAAGACCAATCTCTGGAGGAGCAGCTCCATTATGATGTGAGAAGGGGTGGGAGATACCCTGAGACCAGCATTCTGCTGGAAGGAGAAATCCAGGTTCATAGGAAATCCCAAATCTTTGCCTCTGCCCTTCCCTGTGCCAGTCCTTGGCAGCAGGATGAGGCTGACCCCACGGACAGACCCTGAAGTCCCTGTTTTATTCTCCCATAAATCTCAGTCTCCACACATTAAAGAATGACCTCACACGCATTTTACCACAGGATAGTGTTTTAGAAGGTCTTTGATAAGCACCTTTGTATTTAATTTTGGAGGCAGGGCAGTGTCTCTCCTCTCACTTCCTGCTGGATCATGTGCTGTTCACTCCTCCCTTTAGGGAGGAGCTGTGGGTGCAATAATTCACATTCCACTGGACACTTTAGGATCCAGGGTTTGCCTGTAAGTCACAGCCAGGAAGCAGAAATAATTCCAGGTGAAGTTCAGCTGAGAAAGCTCAGTATAGGAACGTGCTCTGAGTGTTTTGTGATCAGACCTTTGGAGAAAGTGCAGACTCTGCTTAGATTTCTTTCCTGAAAGTTTCTAAATGAAGCATAATTTTGAGGAAGCCTCAATAATTTCTGGCTGCCTTTCAATTAGAAACCTCTTAATCAGTTCCTGATGAGTTAATCCTCAACAGTTCTTACTCTGAGCCATTTAAAACCTTGAGACTTTTTCTGTTGTGTTTTGCAGTCGTCCTCGTTCAGCAGCATCACTGACTCCACCATGTCTCTAAACATCATCACTGTCACTCTCAACATGGGTAAGAGGACAAGCCACGTTTTTTGTGATGAATTTTGAGTGGTAGAGATGTATTTTGTATTTATGTGGTTTCCTAATCCGGAACTGGGCCATTTTCACCAGCAGATCAGTGTTCCTTCCACGGAAGGAGCTGGAACTGCAGGAGTTAATGGTGAGGGATTGGGGTAGAAGGGCACTGGGGGTTTGCATTTCTGCTGCTCCTGTGTTTCATTTGTCAGCCAGGCAGAAATGTGCAGGGCTGCCAGCAAACTCAGCACCTTTCAGCAGCACCAAACCCTTCCTGCCTCTCTGACATGTGGAACAAACATTGCTTAATGTGATCAGTGCTAATTTCCAGGTGTGGACAAGTCTTTTCAGTGTTCTTTCTCTTGCTATTTTTTTTTTTTTTTAAGTAACACTGTCTTGAATAAAAAAATCCTGTCTTTAGCAGCCTTTCCCTGAAGGTGCCAGGCAAATATTCATCATTAGAGCAGCCTGAGATCGTTGCAAGTCAAACCTTGCCCCGCTGATGTGCTGAGACGTTTCAAAGCTGAAACAGCTTCCAGCCTCGCTCTTTGCTATCATTCCAATCACTTTGTCTGCTTTTTTTTTCCCCTTCCCCACCCTCCACTTTGTGTCCATCTAGAAAAGTACAACTTCCTGGGAATCAGCATTGTGGGGCAGAGCAATGACCGGGGTGATGGTGGCATCTACATCGGCTCCATCATGAAAGGAGGGGCGGTGGCAGCGGACGGGCGCATCGAGCCGGGGGACATGCTGCTGCAGGTGGGTCCCTGTCCCCAAATCCTGCTGCTCTGCTCTGCCATGCCACCAGCCCCACGGGCTGCAGTCACCAGGGAACGGAATTTATTCATCCTCAGAGAAATGTGGCCCAAAGATCGCTGAAATTGGTGATTCTTGGTGAGATGCTACGAGAAATGACATTTCAAAGGAATGAAATTAAATGGTGGAATGGAAGTGGTGACCAGGCAGATAAATTGGGGGATTAATGAAGTAATTAAAACACCTTTAACTTTGCTGCTGCAAAGGCTGACCTCTGCTCTCTGCACTGTTTCAGGTGAATGATGTCAATTTTGAGAACATGAGCAATGACGATGCCGTTCGGGTTCTACGGGAAATCGTCTCCAAGCCAGGGTGAGCACATCACAAAACCTCTTCCTATTTATCCTCCATGTGCAGTTGTTGGAGCTGGGAAAACCTCAGAGAAATCAACATTCTGATATCCATCAGCATGCCTGATCTCAGCTGTGAACTTCTCAGTGTAAATGATGAGTAGGTCAGGTTGGTTCTGGCCAAAACCAACAGGAATTGAGGAGTTGCCTGCTTTCAGCAGGGCTGTTTGTTTATGTGATGAGAATTTTAATATCTCAAGAGCTGATCATCCAACAGATTTCACCACCAGTGCTCACCATTTTTGCAAAACCAGGAATGTCCTGATGTGCTTCATACTGAAAATATTACAAAGCTTCTCAAAGCCATTCATACTGAAAATACTATAAAGCTTCTCAAAACCATTCTCAGAATGTACTTGACAACTGCTGGATAGGAATAAATTTGTTTCAAATAGTTCTTGTAGCATTTCCAGCTCTGTAGAAATTTAAGAATCATCCTTAACCTGTTTCCTTTCTTCCTAGACCTATCAGCCTAACAGTAGCCAAATGCTGGGACCCTACTCCCAGGAGTTATTTCACCATCCCCAGGGGTGAGTACACATTTGGGCTCTTTGCTGCGTTCCTGGGAAGCCCCCAAGATATGGAATATTTTCACCTATTTTGACACCTAACAGATTCTACACATTCAGTTCTTTTATTTGTTTACTTCTGTATTGGGAGCCTGGGGTTCCACTGCCCACTGAATTCCTGGGAGTTTTTCTCTTGGTTCACATCTTTGGATCCAGCTCCTAAACTTCTGGGACTTGATCTTAACTTTTCAATTCATAAAAGGTTTGGAAATAATTATTCCAGATGTTAAAAATCCTAATTTTCTCACAGTGAACTTTTTAGAGAGACCTGTGTGTTTTGAATATGTGATGGAAGCAGCAGTGATCCACGTAAAAAAAATGAAAATTACCTTATTTTCAGTAGCAGTAAAAGATGTGTGCTCATGTGACAAACGCAGCTGCCTCCTGCTGGTGAGGGCTGTGCTGCTGCTGCTGGAACCAGTTTGTTCCCAGTCCACAGAAGATGAGAGTGGCATTGAAGATAAGGCTGGAATAAATGCAGCAGACTGTGGGAGCCCCCTTGAAACCCTTAGGAAAACCAGAGAAGCAACAAGAGAACAAAAGAAAACCGCTCAGATCATTCAAAAATTTGGTTTTTTCTGCAAGTCTGACCCCATTTTTTGTGTCTTTTCTCTGGTGCAGACTACAGGACCTCACTCCATTGAAACCCTTAGTAAAACCAGTATAACCAAGAGAAAACCTCTCAGATCTCTCCAAATCTTGGTGTTTGCTGCATTTCTGACCCCGTTTGCTGTCCCTTTGTGGTGGTACAATCTGTAGCATCTCACTCATGTGAAACCATCAAAAAACCAGAGAAACAACAAGAAAACCATAGAAAATCCCTCAGATCTCTCAAAACCTTGGTGTTTTTCTGCAAGTTTTGACCCCATTTTCCGTCTCTTTGTGGTGGTGCAGACTGTGACACCTCATTCACATGAAACCCTCAGAAAAACCAGAGAAACAAGAAAACAAGAGAAAACCTCTCAGATCTCTCAAAACCTTGGTGTTTCCTACATTTTTGACCCTGTTTTCTGGGTCTTTTTTGTGGTGCAGACTATGGGACCTCACTCCTATGAAACCCTTATTAAAACCAGTATAACCAAGAGAAAACCCCTCAGATCACTCAAAATCTTGGCATTTACTGCATGTCTAAACCTGTTTTGCTGTCCCTTCGTGGTGGTGCCAACTACAGGACCTCACTCATATGAAGCCCTCAGAAAACCAGAGAAACAGCAAGAAAACACAAGAAAACCCCTCAGATCTCTCAAAACCTCGGTGTTTGCTGCAAGTTTTCACCCTGTTTTCTGGGCCTTTGTGGTGGTGCTGACTATGACACCTCACTCACATGAAACCATCAAAAAACCAGAGAAACAACAAGAAAACCAGAGAAAACCCCTCAGATCTCTCAAAACCTCGGTGGTTTGCTGCAAGTTTTGACCCCATTTTCTGTCCCTTTGTGGTGGTGCAGACTGTGACACCTCACTCACATGAAACCATCAAAAAACCAGAGAAACAACAAGAAAACCAGAGAAAACCCCTCAGATCTCTCAAAACCTCGGTGTTTCCCACATTTCTGACCCCGTCTCCTGTACCTTTTGCTCGCAGCTGAGCCGGTGCGGCCGATCGACCCCGCGGCGTGGATCTCTCATACCACGGCCATGACGGGAGCGTACCCCCGTTACGGTATGAGCCCCTCCATGAGCATCACCACATCTACCAGCTCCTCACTAACAAGCTCAATTCCCGAGTCGGAAAGTAAGTCACCCCCTGGCCAGCCCAGGGCAGGGGGCTGCTCGGGGCCACCAGGGCCCGGCCACGGGCACGGTGACAGCGGCGGCGCCAGCCAGGCCTTGAGTGGTTTCTCACGCTTGGGGAAAGCAGAACTTTTGGCAAAGGTTGGAGGTTGATGTGGAGGTGTTTGGCCAGGGTTTTGTCTCAGGGAGAAGTGGTTGCTGGTGGATTTTAATGATAGGTTCAGGTTTTTCCACTCGGGGGCGTTTGGTTGGTTTTTAATAAATTTCAACAATAATGTTCGTGTTTCATTTGGGAAATCCTTCCCTGATATTCACGTGGCCTTCTTTTATACTTTTACATCCTTTTTGTTCTTTTTTATATTCCTGGGATTTATTGAGCAAGCTAAACCAAAATGTAACATCCCACATGAAATTAGGGTTTATATTTCAACCTTTTTCCTGGTTTGTCAGACTGAAAGAGCCATATCCATGAACCAAGAGGTTGCATTTTAAAGATAGGATCAGGTTTTTCCACTCAGGTGGATGAGAGAGCTGCCTTCTTGCATTTGATTGGTTTTTAATAAATTTCAACAATAACGTTAGTGTTTCATTTGGGAAACTCTTCCCTGATATTCCCATGGCCTTCTTTTATACTTTTTTGTGCTTTTTAATATTCCTAGGATTTATTGAGCAAGCTGAACCCAAATTGAACATCCCACATGAAATGATGGTTAGATTTCAACCTTTTTCCTGGTTTGGCAGTCTGAAAGAGCCATATCCATGAACCAAGAGGTTGCCATGATTCAGAGAGGTTTCTTTAATTCAAAAGCCTCTCAGAGCACTCAAATCACAGAGTCTTTTTAGTTGGAAGGGACCCAGAAGGATCATTGAGTCCAGATCTAAGTGAATGGCCCAGACAGGGATCAAATGTTGGTGTTACTAACACCATGCTCCAACTCCTTATCTTGGAAAATTTGTTTAATAGGAATATTAATTCTTCATTTTATTTAACTGAGAATGACACTTTGAGGATTTTAAAGACCTCTGTGGTATTGGTTATAAAGCACCTCAGATTTTATAATATATATTCCACCTCACCTTGAAGGCAAAGGCCAAGTTTTCTTTTTTATGTAGGTGTTTTTAGACATCAGGCATTCACTGAGGGGAAATAATCTGCAGCAGGAAGCAAACGAACCCTTTTCCTGCTGGCTGCTTTATCCTGAGATGTTTTGAGCCTTACAAGTCCTGCTGGAACCCAGTGTCTCTGCTGATTGCTGCCCAACAAGTCTGTGCTCAGCATTCCTCTTGAACAATTCATGATGAACTCATGATAGTGCTGGGCTTGGCAAGTGGGGAACAGGCAGCCTCTCAGTCAGACTTTGAAAATAAATGTGTTTGGGAGCAGAACCATATTTCTGGAGGCAGCTTCTCGTTCCTGTGCCGGTGATTTGAAATATTTCCTTTCTGGAATGCAAGGGAATAAAGGGTACCCCTGATTTTTATTGTGATCTCTTCCTTCAGCTCAGCCCTGTGACCTGCCCTGACCTGGGTTAGGTGAATTTTTAAAGCTGACTGAATTCAGACCAAAATGGGAGCATTTCAGATGCATCTCAGAATTTGCCATATTCGTGCAGCAACCAGAACTTAGAAAATATCAATTTTCTGTTCATATGCAGATCTCAAGTCTCCAAGAAAATACAATTTATTGCTCCCCAATATCAGTTTGTTGGTGTATTTTTTTTCCCCCAGACATGTTGCTTTTTGCCACTAACCAAACTAACTTAAAGCAAAAGCAAAGTTTTAGTGTTTATTTGAGGTTTGTAAGTATTGAAGCTGCATGCAGAGCTGGTCTGGGATATTTTCATGCATATTGGCAGTGCATGTATGGAAAGAAACATTTCCAGTTTTCATTGTTTCACGCTTGCTGTACCTTTTTTTATCCAAAATTTTGGGTGGCTGGAAAAGGACAAAAGTGCTTTTGAAAGGTGGGTGATGTGGGGAACTGGGAGGGGAGGAGAGGAGGGTTTTGGAATTCCTGCTGGAGAAGGGTCCGGGCTACAAACAGAGATAAAAATGAGTTTTCTAGGGATGGAAGATGGGAAAGGAAGGAGGATTTGACAAATTCAACCTCAAGCCTGTTCTGATTTTATTGTAAAAATTGATCAGGAAAGTGTGAAACCTCTGGGGGTCCAGTTCTGCCCATAAATGTGTGAACTGGGAAGGGCTGTGGAGGCATTTGGGAGGTTTTTTTTAAAGTGTTCCACAAAAAAAAAATTGAGGGCAAAGCAATCCTGGGAGGAGTGGGTTCTGAGGATACCCTGGGAAAGGTTTTTATAAGAAAATCCCTGATTTCTTCTGATGTGGGAAGATTTCTTTTATAATTTAATTTTCCCCACGAGTGTCCAGATCTTTAAATAAAAACTGGACATGGGTTGAGCCATGGTCACCCTTGGTCCGTGGAGACTGGGGGGACTCCTGACAGTGGACCCCAAAAGAACAAACCCCAAAAACTTCCCCCATGGTTCTCCTTGGGGCTGTTCCTGGGAAACTGAAATGGAAAATGATGGATCACAAAAACCTTTGGGTTTCCTTTCCTGCCTGTCTGGATGCAGAGAGGATCCTGCAGCTGCTCTGGGAAGCCCAGACATGGGGACTCAGCATTTCTGTCACTAAACTGGTGGTCTTGAGCCCAAAATCTGAAAAAATGCTGCAAATGCTGTAATTCACTCTGTGGATGAGGGTGCATTTATTTTATTTTATTTTATTTTATTTTATTTTATTTTATTTTATTTTATTTTATTTATTTTATTTCATTTTTTTGTATCTGTTGATAAAACTGTATTTTTATTTCATCCAAACTGGGAGCTGAGAAGTTCCTTCAGCCTGAATCCATTTCACAGCAGCCTGTGGCCTCTCTTCCTTTTAGAATTAGAAGAATCTCCCCTAACTGTGAAGAGTGACATGGCTACTATTGTCAAGGTCATGCAGCTGCCAGACTCAGGCCTTGAAATTCGGGACAGGATGTGGTTAAAAATCACCATCTCCAACGCAGTGATAGGTAAGCAGACCCCAGGAATGCTGAAGGGGGAAAAAAACAGTGATTTAATGGGAACAGGTTCAAAAAACTACCTTTTAATGAGCTTTTTTCATGTCTGTGAGCTCTTTTATTCCATTTATGGACAGGAAATAACTCTTGTGTTCATGTAGTGTTCAGCTGGCACAGTTTGGCTCAGATAATCCCATTTTAGATGTTCAACTGGCACAGTTTGGCTCAGATAATCTCATTTTAGGTATTCAGCTGGCACAGTTTGGCACAGATAATCTCACTGTAGATGTTCAGCTGGCACAGTTTGGCACAGATTATCCAATTTTAGATGTTCAGCTGGCACAGTTTGGCTCAGATAATCTCACTGTAGATGTTCAGCTGGCACAGTTTGGCTCACATAACCCCACTGTAGATGTTCAGCTGGCACAGTTTGGCCCAGATTATCCAATTTTAGATGTTCAGCTGGCACAGTTTGGCCCAGATTATCCAATTTTAGATGTTCAGCTGGCACAGTTTGGCCCAGATAACCCCGTGTCTCCTCTTGCTGTCCCCATTTCAGGAGCAGATGTGGTGGACTGGCTTTACACACACGTGGAAGGCTTCAAGGACCGCCGGGAGGCCAGGAAATACGCCAGCAGCATGCTGAAACACGGCTACCTCAGGCACACTGTGAACAAAATCACCTTCTCAGAGCAGTGCTACTACGTCTTCGGAGACCTCTGTGGCAGTGAGTCCCCGCTGGGAAGGACAGAGCTGTCCCTGTGTCACTTCTGTGCCTCGAGGGTGCTCATTGTCCCCTTGTGTGTCCTCATGATGAAGAGTTCCATGAGGAAGGATTTCCATGAGGGTGGCAGAGCTCTGGAGCTGCCCAGGGGAGGTGGAGTCTCTCTGGAGGTATTCCAAAGCCAGCAGGACACATTTCTGTGTCACCTGCTCCAGGATTGGACAGGGGCATCTCCAGAGGTCCCTTCCATCCCTGCCTCTCCTGGGGTTTCACAAGGAGTGTCCCAGAACAGGGGAGCCCTTCATCACCCTGACATTGTGTGACAAGGGGCTGGTGCTCCCTGGGAGCAAGGAGAGCTCCTGGGGGAGGATGAGCCCATCAAGCAGAGCTCTGAGGGCAGCAGGATTTATTTCTGGTGCTGCCACACTGATGCCATAGGCTTTAGGTGGGCTGGAGAGAGAAAAACAAGGATGGGACTTCATCAGCTAAAGCTTACGAATTAATTATGAATTATGAATGAATTATGAATAATTGGACAATTAACTCCAATATGAAAATGGAGCAGAACTTGTAAAAGTGAGAAACCCCATGAGTGGTCGTGCATTTTGGGACCATTTGGGTTCACCTTGGGTTCATTTTGGGACCATTTTGGTTCACCTTGGGTGCAGCCCTGGCTGGGCTCTTGTGCTGCCCAAGGTGGATCCATGGAGGAGATCCTTTTCATAAATCCCTGCTTTATTATTTAACTTTGTCTAGTCTGTTCTACATCAGCCTCCACATTCCCTGCTGTCAGTCCCACTCAGTTTCCAGCCTGGAAAAGGGGGATGTTCCCACCCTGTCCTCATCCCTTTCTCCCCTTTCAATGCTGGGTGAGAAGGCTGATTCCAGGGCGTTGCTAAGCTTCAGATCCCTCCGTAAATAAATTCAAAGTGATCATTTTACCTACTGGGTAAGAAACTTTCCCCTTTTTTCTTTGCCAGATCTGGCTGCACTGAATCTCAACAACGGTTCCAGCGGCGCCTCGGACCAGGACACGCTGGCTCCCCTGCCTCACCCTGCTGCTCCCTGGCCCTTGGGCCAAGGATATCCCTACCAGTATCCTCTGCCCCCTCCTTGTTTCCCACCAGCCTACCAAGACCCAGGCTTTAGCTATGGCAGTGGCAGTGCAGGCAGCCAGCAGAGTGAAGGTAAGATGGGATAAAAGGGTTTGAATTCCACAGTTCTCATTATCCCCCACCATCTGCTTGAGTTCCTTGGTGCTGTCCGTGCTTGTCTCGTGGTTTTGGTTGCTCCCTGCATGGATTGTGTGCAATGAATTAAAGGTGTTTGTGGCTCTGGAGGAGGGGGTTTGGCTTTCAGCTCTCTGTGGGAACTGCCAGGCTTAACCCAGTCAGGGATTGCCAGCTGTGGGGGTGAGCTTGCTGGAAATGAGGCAATTTCTGTGCTGCTGGGACAGGGCTTAGAACCAAGGTGCTCTTGGCTTTTATGTCAGTGCTCAGCACAAAAGGAAAATCACATTTTTTTCTAAGTGGGAGGTGGCCAGCCAGGGCTTTCCAGGGCTGAAACACTGCTCCCAGGGAGGAGAGTCTCTGCTGGCATGTGGACAGGGACAGGAAGAGAATTCTGCATGGATTCAAGACCTGCCCTCCTCCTTTTCTGTCCTAGATTCATTTTTAACCTTAGTAAATAAAATCATGTCATTTTTTTTTCTTTTTTTGGCTGTATAGACACTATTTTTTAAATTTCTTTTTTTTTAAAATCGCTTCCAGAGTGAGTTTTGCTTTTGGAAGTGCTGCCAGTAAAGAAGGGGTGAGGATTCCTTGTGGTTTTCAGTGAGCATCCAGTAAATTGGATGTCACTTATCCCTATTCCCCACAGCCAGTCAGATTTTACAAAATGGCACAAAAGGGTTTCATAAGACAGGATTTTAGCCCAGCTGCATGTCACCTTATCCCAAAATAAGAAATATCCATGAGGAATCTCACAGAGGTTTTAGAACTGGAAACTGATTTTCCTGGACAGAACATGGGGGTGTTTTTTTGGCAGCTGCTTCTGTGAGCAGTAGGAATTCTCTCCCTGCTGCTGGAATAGGAAAGGAAAGGTGGCACTCCCCAAAAGTGCCAGGGTGTTCAGCTCTGAAAGGTTTCCACTCTTTCCCTGGTGGAAAACAACTTCTGTGCTGTTTCTTGCTTTGTAACTGTTATTCCCTTGTTTTGTCCTGAGCAAGCATTAGACTGAAGGATTCCTAGAGGAATGGCTGACTCTAGGGGATTGGTAAGCCTCAAATTCCTCCATGATGAATTCACAGCATGATCATTTTTAGATCCTCGTGACCCAAATGTTTAGCTGTATTTTGGTTTTGTTTTTGTTTTTAATTTGAAATTTTATTTTTATTTTGAATTGTCTTGGACAATGTCTCAGTGCACATTAGCATATCAACCTGTGGGACTGTGCTGCAGCAGCTCAGAGGGGAGGGAAAATCAGGTGGGAAAACCCCATCCCCAGGCTCTCCAGAAAATAAATAGTCCAAATTTTTATGGTGGCACCCCTCTGGGCTGGATTTCTCTGCCAGTGCCCATTAATTGGTGGCCAGGTGGCTCAGGCAGGGGTTGGGAGTGCTGGAGCACAAGGCTGCACTGCTCACTCTCAAAATAATGTTAAATTTGGGGTTTTGTGCCCTCTCTCATTCATCCGCACTATTAAATCATAACAATCAGCAAATACCACTGCAGAGATCCAGGCTTGGAATATTCACTTAAAATCCAGTGGTTTTGTGGTCTGTTTTCCATCTCTCTGGCACTCTGCAGAAAATGCAGCCTTTCCCCCCAAAATCCAGTGTGGTTTCCCATCTCTCCAGTCAGCTGGAGCAGCAGAAAGTCATGGGCATCTGTAGCTCAAGAAGGAGCAGCCCAAAATAATTCTGTTTTCCCATTTCTGTGACTCATTTAGACTCAAAAGCTGGTCCCCTGTTCTGGTGGCTGGGGATCATTTTTGGGAAGTCCATCTTGCACTAAGGTGCATGAATTTAATGGGATATTCCTTGGGTTGATTAGTTGAATTAAAAAAAAAATAATTAGCTTGGAGCTGTCTCCTAATCTGTCTGTCATGGGAACAGAGCAAGACCTTCAGTTTCCATTAAAAAAATCAGGTTTTGATGTTTAGTAAAGCTTGTTTTTACTAACAGCTCAGCTGATACTCAGTGGCAATCCTTTGGTTTTCCAAGGTGATTTAGTGGCCTCTCTTGGGAATAATATCCTGGTGTTACTGATTTGTGATAGAGCAGCTCAGGAACTGTTTCCTAGGGAATTCTCCAACAGCACAAGGCTTTAGTGAGGAATTTTAAAAGGATCTCCCCAGTGAAGCCAACAAAACGTGAGGGATTTAAGGGTGGCAGAGAAGGCAAAGGGTTTCTTTAGGAAAAGGTAATTTTAAAAGGATTTCTCCCTACTGAAGTCAACAAAACCTCAGGGATTTACAGGTGACAGAGAAGGCAGAGGGGTTTCTTTAGGAAAAGGTAATTTTAAAAGGATTTCTCCCTACTGAAGTCAACAAAACCTCAGGGATTTACAGGTGACAGAGAAGGCAGAGTGGTATTTTTTTGGAAGAGGTCCAAAATAAAGCAGAGACAATTAGAATTAAACCTCATTTGCTTGAGTCAAACCCCAAATTCCTGCTTTTTCCTCCCTTTCCTGCTCCCCCCCTCTCCTGCTGGGCTGGATTTGAGCCAGGAGCTGCAATCCAGCCGCTGCTTTCACCGTGCAAGCTCGGAGCCGCGTCCGTGTCCCCTCGCATGGCACCACCCCATCGCTGAGCCGGCGCACGGCGCACACCACGGACCCAAACTCATCCTTTCCTCTCCTCTTTTTTTTGGCTTGGCAGGGAGCAAAAGCAGCGGCTCCAACCGGAGCACCAGCGAGACCAGCAGGAGAGCAGCGGGCAGGGAGAAGGAGCGCAAGTCCGGGGGCAGCGGCAGCGAGTCGGAGCCCGGCGCGCGCCGCGAGCGGCCGCTCAGCCAGCTCAGCCAGCGCTCGGCCAGCGACAGGAGCCACCAGAGCCACCACTCCTACGGGCCCCCGGGGGTGCCCCCCTTGTACAGCCTGCCCAAACTGGGCTCCAAGGTGCTGGGCAGCAGCGGCCCGCCCGGAGGGCCGCCGGTGCGCGAGCTGAGCGCCGTGCCGCCCGAGCTCACCGGGAGCCGCCAGTCCTTCCAGAAGGCCATGGGCAACCCTTGCGAGTTCTTCGTGGACATCATGTGAGAGGAAGTGCCTTCAAAAGACTCTGCACAGGGTGGGGTGTTGTTTTTTTTTTTTTTTTTGGGGGGTGGGTTGTGGGATGCTCAGTTGGAAGAGGCTTGGCTGTCTTGCATGTCACAGCTTCCTGTTCGCGAGCGTGTCGCAGAAAAGAAAAAAAAAAAATCGACAAAACTGGACAAAAAAATAGAAAAAAAATACAAACCCCCTCCTACACACCTACAAAAATGAACAAGAGATTCTCCTGGATTGTTAAATATCAGCAAATCAACGGCATCTTTTCGTTAGGTTTGGTTTTTCTCCCCTGCCCATCTCGTTTTGGATTGTGAATGGCTGGTGTATGTTCACATCTTAATGAGCTTTGGTCATTGTGGCACCTACTTCAGTGGAATTAGTGTCTCTCTCTGGGCTGATTGGAGGACTGGTATTTCACATGACTTCTAAATTCCTGACAATGCATAGGAGCACTTTGATTTTTTATTTTTTTTTTTGCCCTGCTTTTTCTCTTGCAAGGACAAAAGGACTGCTGGCTGGTATCTGGGATACTGCCTTGGAATGCTGGTTCTTGGATGCATCCATAGCTCTGAGCAGACATGGCACCCACAAGTGCTTGGAAATGAGCAGGATCCAACCAATTCCTAGAGGAAAACAAAGTTGTGGCTACTTTCTGCTGACTAGGCAGTATAAATCAATCTTTCTTGGGTTCTTTAAGGGTTTTTTTTAAAGATATTCTATCAAGGGAGTGCTGGAGTCTTGCTACTGTATGTGTTCATTGTGCAGAACTTGTAAAGTTATTTCCTTCAGTTATTTCCTTATTTCCCAAGAATGATTTTCCAGCTGCACTCGGTTCCTGGGCATTTCAGTCACATCCCTGCTGCCAGGTGTGGCTGTTCCCTCTGCACGTGCACTTGCTTGCAGGTTGGAAGAGTTATTCCCACAGAAATAGGAAAATTGCTGCAGTTCTGTCAGCTTTGCCCTTTTGAAGGGGCTGTTTATCCCATTCCAGCAGAGAAATCCTGGCTCCCACTGGGACGTGGCTCTTCTTTGTGATCCCTCCTTCCTTTCTGAGCAAAATCTTTCTCTTTTTTGTTAAAACAGAGACCTGGAGATGTCTGATCTCCCCGAGCACAGTGGGCAGAGAGGTGTGAGAGTGTCTGAGAACAGATCAGAAGTGGTACAAAAAGAAATCCTTACCCCACCCTGGAGCTCCCCAAAAATAAATCCTTACCCTGACTCTGAGTTAAACTCACTCTGGAGCTCCCCAGAAATAAATCCTTACCCTGACACTGAGACCCACCCTGGAGCTCCCCAAAAATAAATCCTTCCCCTTGACAGCAAGTTATACCAACCCTGGAGCTCTTCAAAACTAAATCCTTACCATGGCACTGAGTGAGACCCACCCTGGAGCTCCCCAAAAAGAAATCCTTACCCTGACTCCTCCTCCTGCTGAGGAGCTCTGCTGTTGAATATCCCCAAGATTTAATTTCTGGCTATTTTCTGCTCTGAGGCTGTAGAAAGTAAACTCAGGCAGCTTCAGGGCTGTTCAAGAAGATTTTTTAAGGCATGGTGAGCACAGCCATGCTCTCATGTGGCTCATTTAATGAGACAGCCTCTCTGGATTTGACCATGGGGCCGTTCCTCTGTTAAATTCTCTTTTGTGGGATCCCTGCTGCTGGCAGGATTTAGGGCAGGTGCTTTAAAATCAGTTTTTACTGTAAATAAGCATTTTCTCCTCTGGTAAGAAGCTGCTTTTTGAGCTGTTCTCTGCTTTTTGGGTAAATATCCAAGGTGGATGTGAAGAGAGAACATCTTTGTCTCTGTACACACACAGCTCATCCTGAAAACTGACCCTTCAAAATGTCTTTTTAATTCTGATTTTTCACATCTTTCCTTTTTCCCACCTCCCTTTGTCAGAGACTTCAGATGTTTGTGGGAATGGGAAACTCAATTTCTCCTTCCACAGGGAGCCAGGAATTCGGGGAACTCTCACTTAGCCCATTTCTGGGCTTCTAAATTAATTTCCTTTACAAAAACCTCCCCCAAAAAAAGCTGCCCAAGGCTTCTGAAAGCAGAGCTTTCATCACCACCCAGGGATGGCTCCTCCAAAAGAGGCCCTGCCTAAAGCTTGACAGGACTTTTCTTTCCCTTCCCTCCTCCTCCCAGATGCAAACCTGACTTGGTAAATTATTCTGAAAGATTGACACTTAAATCAGGGTAAAAGAGTGGTGGAAATCTGCTCTGTCTCCAGGAGACACTGCTGAGCAGTCTGTGACTTTACTGACAATCACTAGTGGTTCTACTTTTAAATTAATTGAGATTTTTTTTCCTGGCATTTTATAAGTTATGATTTCTCTAAGGCAGAACTCAGAGAGCTGGAGGAAAAAAAAATCTTTTAATATTTCCAAAAAAGGGATTAAAGCTGGGGGCTGAGCTTTTCACCCATGTTTCATTTCCAAGAGCTGCAGTTTACACACCTGCTGGGGGTTTGGTTTTGTCTCGTGGTTTTGCTGTTGGCAGAAACTGTTCTGTGTCTTGCTGGTCTTTGCTGCTATGTTGAAAAATGACTTTTTTTCTAAATGTGTGTGCTCGTGGGTCACCCTGGGACGAGGCTGTGAGTCCCCAGCAGATGTGGGAATGGTTTGCTGAGGAAATCAGGCTGGAGGAGCTTCCCCCACTGCAGGGAAGGTGCTCTGGGTGTTCCACAGGTGGAGCCTCTTGAACAGTGCAATATTGAACAGTGACACACAAATCTGCATTTTCCCCCTTGCTGGGCTGAAGGTCAGGTCTGAATCTTTGCCAGCTCTGATTCCTCAAGGGAACAAAAATGAGATTTCCCAAATCTCAAATACTGAGCAGTGACACAAAAATCTGCTTTTTTTTCCCCCTTGCTGGGCTGAAGGTCAGGTCTGAATCTTTGCCAGCTCTGATTCCTCAAGGGAACAAAAATGAGATTTCCCAAATCTCAAATACTGAGCAGTGACACAAAAATCTGCTTTTTTTTCCCCCTTGCTGGGCTGAAGGTCAGGTCTGAATCTTTGCCAGCTCTGATTCCTCAAGCGAACAAAAATGAGATTGCCCAAATCTCAAATACTGAATAATGACACACAGATCTGCATTTTTCCCCCTTGCTGGGCTGCAGGTCAGGTCTGAATCTTTGCCAGCTCTGGTTCCTCAAGGGAACAAAGATGAGATTTCCCAAATCTCAAATACTGAATAATGACACACAAATCTGCATTTTTCCCCATGCTGGGCTGAAGGTCAGGTCTGAATGTGTGCTAGCTCTGATTCCTCAAGGGAACAAAAATGAGATTTCCCAAATGCCACCCTTGGCTCCTGTGCTCTGTGTCTTTGCAGCTCTGTCCTGCTGGGCACAGCATTCCCTGCAGGAACCTGTGCCAGCCATGCCAGGGGAGCTGCCCACGGGGGGAATTGTGCCAGGGGGAAGAAAATTTGGAGGCTGGAGTGCTGCAGACCCAGCATTTCTTACCCACCAGGGCCTGGAATTGAGTTTTGCTGTGCAGGGCGTGGGAACACCCTCAGAGCAGGAGCCTGAAGGAATTGGACTAAAGCAATTTTTTAATTACTTTTTTCCAAATAAATAATTTTTATTCTGCAGCTGAGCTCACGCTCACCCATCCCTGCAGCAGGGATGTCTGGGGGCTCCTGGAAAAGGGGAGGAAACACTTTGGGGTGACTTCTCCCACCCCAAGAGGCAGGATCTGCAGAGAGGTGTCTCCACCCAGTAAATTTTTTTTTGGCAAATAGTCTTAAAAGCATTCTGGTGTCATTTAGCTCCTGTTAAGGAATCTGCTTTTCCAAGGAATCAGTGCCCTGGACACTTTATCCAAAGGTTTTAGTGGATGGCAAGCAATGATGCACAGATGTTGACTTTTGCCAGGATTTTTGTTCTCTCTGATTTTTGTTCTCTCCCCTCCTGAGACTTGACAGCTCATGGGTTGATGTAATTGTATTTTTTTTTTTTTAATTTTTATTTTTTTGTTTTTGTTTTGCATTTAACTGGATTGTAATAAGATTGACTTAAAATTATTAATTCTAATCAGTGATTAGAAATACATGTAAAGAATTTTATGTACAGTAGAGGAACAAAGTTACATGATTTTAAATAATGAAAACCCAGACTATCACCTATCCTAGAACTGGTTCTACTCCAAGAGTGACCTCTTATTAGCATGGACTGCACTGTTCCTGTTAAATGTCTATTGCATAATTGAATTCTTTTTTGTAGATATTGTATTAAAACCCAAGTGTCTGTATAGTTAATATATAGCTGCTTATGTGTAAATGCTATTTTAAACACTAAAAAGCTTTTAATTTTATGTGATAACCACAGTGTATGTGTTCAGTTCTTTGCAGTATTTCATTGTGATTTATTTCCTAAATATTGCCCATTTTTGGACTCTCCAGCAGAAAGAAGGACCACTGGGACACCCTGTGTAAACTCTGGTGAGCCTTGGGTTTGTCAGGACGCCCTGTGGGGTCTGAGGGGCTCAGCTGGACTCGAGATTTAAAGGTTTTTCCAGCCTAAATGATTCTAATTTTCCAGCTTAAATAAAAAGAACAAGCACAGCTTGGTGAGGCAGATTCCTGCTTCCCAGCTGGCACAGATCACACAGCAAGGGGAGAGTGAAACATCATTTAAATTCATAAATCCCAGCATCTTCCAGTGAGGAGAATATTAAATGGTCAGGTTTAAGTGAATATTAAATTGTCAGAATTTAAGTGAATATTAAATTGTCAGATTTATGGACAGTCTTTTCCTGCAGGGCCTGGTGGAGTTAAATCAGATTTTTTTCCTTTCCCTAATTCTGGAATGATGATCAAAAGTTATTTAATGTTTCTCTGCTATGGAAGCACAGCCCTGGAGGAGGAATACTGAGAATTTCAGGTGGTTGTGAAGAATCTCTGCAGGCTTCAGGAACAAGAACTCCAGGTCAGAGTTTTGGTTTTTTTAATCACACTGAGGAATAATTTTGGATGGAGGTGATCACAAAAATTGGAGACAAGTAACTTTGCAGTGCACCAAAAGGTTGTTTATTTTATTTTTTTTTTAAGAATGAAAATATTCACTGGTTCAGATTAATTGGCAAATTCTTTAATTGAGCTGGACTGCTTAAATTCCAAAAGTAACACAGTGGAGAGATGGAAAAAACTTAATCTAGGGAACAAAAGAGCAGAAATGGAAAAACTTTTAAGCAGAATAGTTTCTTGTCAACATGAGTGGGGAAAAGAAAAACCTCGGTGATGGGACTGGATACTGACTTGGCAACAATGTGAAGTTTTTGGTGATTTTTGCCTGGTTTTTGGGGAGGGAGGAACCTCCTGCTGTGCCTTTGCAGGGTGTGGTTGGCACTGAGCTCATTTCCATGGGCACAAACGGAGTGAGCTGGGATTTGAACGGGCAGTGCCCCCTCTGTGCCACACACACAGCTGCTGGTACCTGCCAGAATGTTCTTTTTGCTTCTCTTTTATTGGATGGGTTTGACAATTCTTACAAGGCTGGGGAGAGGATTCCTGGATCTATCTCTGGAGCTCTTAATTAATGAGAAAGGGAAATTACCACAAGTGTTTACAGGGAAGTGCTGTTGGTGACTCACATTTCCAGGCTTGAGAGATTGGTGTAAAATACCATTTCTGGAGGTTCTTTCATTAACTGAACTTAATTTTGGCTCCATTTTGGGGCTGAAATGTTTCCAGAGAGGATGGAGGCTGCTCCTCTGGACTTGCTGAGCCCTGTGCTTCCACAGCTCTGGTTCAGATGTGATTGTGCCTGGAGCCACAGCGTGCTCATAAACAGGATTTTCTCCTTAAAATCCAACCTCTGTGAGGAGCAGGTGACCCAGGGTGTGATTTATTGCCTATCCTCTGGCTGCACCTCAGAGGGGTTCTGGAAATAATCCCCCGTGTTCAGATCAGGCCTGAACACCAAGATGTAGCACTTGGGCACGAAGTAACTGGCCAAGATGCCCAGGGTGGTGGCCAGGATGGTGCAAATCTGCGTGACAGCCCTGAGCACCGTCCTGAGCGTGGCAAACATCACCACGAAGAAGATCCAGATGACAAAATAGATGAAGGTGGCGAAGGTGATGCCCCTGGCCACGTTGTACCTGCCGGCCGGCGTTTGCACCATGAAGGTGCACAGGAAGCAGGTGAAGGCCAGGCAGCTGTTGTAGCCGTGCAGGAGGGCAAAGGCTGCCCAGGACTGGGTGCCACACACCAGCAGCACCTCGCTGGGCAGGGACTCGTAGTCAGCCACCAGGTAGTCGGGGCCCAGGTGGAGGTGGCACAGGCAGAGCAAGGCCTGGATGGTGACGGACGCGGCCGCCGTGAGCCAGGCCCCGCCGTGGGTCACCCAGCGCAGCAGCCTGGGGGCACGGCGAGGGAATTCTGTCAGCAGGGTGATCTCCAGGGCCTTGGGCAGCAAGGTGGAGAAGCAGCCATTGAGGCACAGGGCGTAGGAGAGCTGCTGCAGCCAGCACAGCGCCGTGCTGGGCCTGCCCACGTACAGGCAGCAGCTGAGGCTCTGCAGCAGCAGGCAGAGCAGGGCCAGGAGGCTCCTGGCACCCCCTGCCAGCTGCACCAGCGGGCTCTGCAGGTGCTTCAGGAACAGCAGGGCTGCCACGCCGCTCAGGGTCGCTGTGAAGGCCGCCAGGGTCAGCAGGGCCACGGCCAGGGGCTCGTCCCAGAAGAGGAACCTCTCGCCGCGCTCGTGGCAGCGCGTGCTGCGCGCCGGGGCCCACTGGTGCCGCGGGCACGGGGAGCAGCTGGTGCTGTCTGCAAAGAGAAGCCTTGGGGCATTGGGGACCTGCCACCCACACAGCGATTTGGGGGTGGTTTAAGTGGTGTTTTTTGTGTTGGAGGGTCAAAGCTTGTGGTGGTTCACACTCTGCTTTTCCACCCTCATCCCTGAAGGATCCGTGTGTTTCTTGCCTCTGTTTTCCTTCCCCAGCAATGCCAGGATGTTTTCCTCTGCCTCTCTTCTACCCATGCCCCCAGAATTGCCCCACACCCCTCTCTGCTAGCTCTGCAGATAAAACACAAACGTTTGTCCTCATTCCTTCCCTCTGAGCCCAACAGGGGCAGGCCCCCAGTGAGGAGCAGAACAGGGAGGGAACACCTGGCAGTGCTTATGGAGGAGCTCATCACACCTCGGCCAGGAGACAGAATAATCCAGTCAAAGCCTTTCAATCGCCCAGACCTCACCTGTGCTGCTCCAGAAGGTGTTTTCTGAGCAGTCTGTGCAGTCATAGCAGCAGAGGTTGAACCCTTTTATTCTTCTGACTTGTCCTGGTTGGCAGCGCCTGAAGCACTCAGATGTGGGCTCCTGGCAAAGGCAGGAGTGAACATCAGCCAGGCACCTCCAGGAGAACAAATCTCCAATAAAGCAGAATTAATTGTGCCATTTTTACCTTCTTATCTGCGGTGTGGAACTGGATCTGGGACTGATGGATGTACAGGGACTGGTCGTAGTCCCCCACGGGCAGGTAGGTCAGGGTGCCATCGTCCCTCCAGGCCCAGGAGATGAGTTTGTAGCCCGTGTTTGTGCTGTGGGATTGATCAAACCTGAAGCTCTGGCCGTTCACCTCGAACGGGAGGGTGTTCATGAAGTGCAGCAGCTGGGGAGGAAATTAAACCAAAATTTTGGTCCAGCTGTTCTTGTTTGGAGGACGACAATTCTGCAAGCTGACATCAGCTGTCCCTTAGGTGGGCTAAGATTGTGCCAACCTGGCTGTGAGGTGACAAAATCTGGCTGTTTGCCCCTCAGACCACCTGTGGATGCAACAAGCCTGGTCAGAGAGTGAGAAAACTTCATTTTCTTACAGTGGGCTTGTGAGACTTTTAAGGGAGTTGTAGAAAAATGAGGGTAACTTGTTAGTATAAACAACTCTGTTTGTGAGAAAGATGTTTTTGTTAATTAGCCAATCAAGCAGAATGTGTCGAATCTGTCTATAAAAGAGAGGATTTTCCTATTAAACTCCAAAGGGACTATCCTGCAAACCAGCCTTTGAGAGAATCTGTGCCATTTCTGCCTCAACGCTGACGCTCACCTGCCAGGACCTGACGGGTGTTTTGGGACAGCCCCTGGAGGTGCAGCCCAGGGCTCTGTGCAGGGCGTGGGCAATGCTGTACACGGCCACGTGCACCGGCTGCACCGCTGTCACCCCCAGCATGGGCCAGATGTCCCCGAGGGTGACGTTGCCACACTGCTGGCAGTGCGTGTCCAGCACCTCGGCGTTCATCAGGCGGCTCAGCTCCCTGGACTGCCGGCAGAACTCCTCCTGGGTGACGGAGCTGAAGAGCTCAGCCACGTACTCCTGGAAGCCGGGCACTGTCCCCGTCCTCATGACAAAGCCCAGCACTGTCCCGATGCTCTGGATGTTGGGCGTGGAGGCGGTGACATCCGACAGCATCCAGGTCTCGGTGCCAATCCAGACCTTCTTGCCCAGCCCCGCGCCGATGCTGCGCTCCAGCAGGGCCTGGGCCGGCAGGCTGTGCGCAAACAGCACGATGACGTTGACTTTGGTGCTGTTAATTAACTTAATTGTGTTTTCCAGCTGCCGATTGGCGCCGGGCTCGGCCAGGTCAGAGGGGATGAGCCCCTCGAAGGCGATGCAGATGTTGTTGGTGCCTGCCACGCTCAGGAAGAGGGCCAGGGCCCTTCGGCCGTACTCATCGTCGCTGCCCACCGTGGCCACCCAGTTCCAGCCAAAGTGGTTGAGGAGCAGCACCACGGCCTCCACCAGGTTCTTGTCGCTGGGCACCGTGCGGTAGAAGGACGGGTAGAGCTCCGTGTTGCTCAGGGTCTCGCTGCTGGCTCCGTAGCTCACCTGGGGGAGAAAGGATCTCAGTGCCAAAGAGCTGCTAAGGTTTATTGAAACCTTATCAAAAGTACAACAAGGAATAGAGGAAATTTCTCCAAGGCTCGGGAAAGGATTCTTGGATGCATCTCTGGAGCTGCTGAGTAAGAGATTTACTTAAGAAATTCCTATAAGAAATTGATATTAATACTTGAGAAATTCCTATAAGAAATTGATATTAATACTTGAGAAATTCCTATAAGAAATTGATATTAATACTTGAGAAATTCCTATAAGAAATTTCATAAGGAAAGGAAATTGCCAGGAGTATTTACAGGGGAGTGATCTGGGTGATACACTGATATCAAACACCAGTTGTGGAGCTTGTTTCATCACCCAAAAGGCAGAATTGAGGCTCTGCAGAGAGTCTCTGGATGCATCTCTGGAGCTGCTGAGTAAGAAATTTGATAAGGAAATTGCCAGGAGTGTTTACAGGGGAGTGATCTGGGTGAGACACTGATATCAAACACCAATTATGCAGTTTGTTTCATTACCCAAAAGACAGAACTGAGGCTCTGCAGGGAGCTTTACCTGTGGGATCAGGAAGGAGCTGAAGAGCTTGGCAGTGAGCAGGCACAGGTCCGACTTGTGGGGCCCGATGACGGCGGTGACGCGCGGCCGGTACTCGCTGTAGTCGCACAGGACCCCGATGGCCCTGCTGCCGTTCTGGGTGAGGAAGAGGAGGCTGGGCTGCAGGGCCACCAGGGGCTCGAAGCACGTGTCATACATGTCATAGCCCAGGGTGACCCCCAGCAGCAGCCAGCTGCAGTTGTTGATCTGCTCGATGGCAAATTTCATGGCCAGGGCCCAGATGAGCCCGTCCGTGAATAACCTGGGCAGGGACACAGGGACGTGGGGCAGCTGGCAGCTGGTCCTGGGGGGAAAGCTGAGTTTGGTTTGATGTTGTACTGGCAGGACTGATTTCTGTGTGTGTTTTATATAAGTATTGGCAGAACTGATTTTTATATGTATTTTATACAATTATTGGCAGAACTGATTTCTATATGTATTTTTATATAAGTGTTAGCATAAGTGATTTTTATATAATTATTGGCATAAGTGATTTTTATATGTATTTTATATAATTATTGGCATAACTGATTTTTGTATGTATTTTATATAATTATTGGCATAAGTGATTTTTATATGTATTCTTATATAATTATTGGCAGAACTGATTTCTGTATGTATTTTTATATAAGTATTGGCATAACTGATTTTTAGATGTATTTTATATAATTATTGGCAGAACTGATTTCTGTATGTATTTTATATAATTATTGGCAGAACTGATTTCTGTATGTATTTTTATATAAGTATTAACATAAGTGATTTTATATGTATTTTATATAATTATTGGCATAACTGATTTCTATATGTATTTTTATATAAGTATTAGCATAAGTGATTTTTATATGTATTTTTATATAATTATTGGCATAACTGATTTCTGTATGTATTTTATATAATTATTAGCATAACTGATTTCTAGATGTATTTTTATATAATTATTGGCATAACTGATTTCTGTATGTATGATATAACTGATTCATTTACAATTTAAGTGTTTGATTCAACTGTTTGCTTCAGTTTAAGTGTTTGATTCAACTGTTTGCTTCAGTTTAAGTGTTTGATGCATTTACAATTTTAGCATTTGATTCATTTACAGTTTAACTGTTTGATTCATTTACTATTTAACTCTTTGATTCAATTTAACTGATTCATTTACAGTGTTTGATTCAATTTAACCGATTCATTTACAATTTAAGTGTTTGATTCAATTCAACTGTTTGCTTCAATTTAAGTGCTTGATGCATTTACAATTTTAGCATTTGATTCATTTACAGTTTAACTGTTTGATTCATTAACTATTTAACCTTTTAACTGATTCATTTACAGTGTTTGATTCAATTTAACCGATTCATTTACAATTTAAGTGTTTGATTCAATTCAACTGTTTGCTTCAATTTAAGTGTTTGATTCATTTACAATTTTAGCATTTGATTCGTTTAAACTGTTTGATTCAGTCACTATTTAACTCTTTGATTCAATTTAACCGATTCATTTACAACGTGTTTGATTCAATTTAACTGATTCATTTACAATTTAAGTGTTTCATTCAATGTAACTGATCCATTTACAATTTTAAGTGTTTGATTCAAGCCCCGAGGAAGCCAGTGCTGCTAAAACCCTTTATCAAGTCCAGACTAAAGTTTGACAGCATCAAAAATCCACAAAACCATTTCCATTTCGGGACCAGTTGACATCCCAGCGCTCCACCCCTGCAAGTCTCCTCTGCCCCATCCCAGAACCCCTTATTTCCCCTTTTCTCCCCAAATGGCAGCCCTTACCTCTGGCAGAGCAGCAGGGTGGGCTCTGAGCGAGCGGTCAGGTTCACCGTGTCCTTCCCAAAGGGGAACAAACCCCCCAGGACAAAATCCCCCGGCCGCCTGAACTGGGCTGAGAGGCACGAGGGGCTCAGGGAGGCAGCACAGCCACAGCCCAGGCACAGCCACAGCCCTGGCAGCTGCATTTTGGGGGAAAAACCTGGGAAAAGCCAACTCAGCCCTTCCTGGAAAATCCCTTTAAATAGAGATGGATGGGGGTGAAGTGATGGCAATTTGTTTGGCAAAATGCTGAAGTAAAAACCACTGCCCCCATCCTGATTTCCTTTGCTCAGTGAATAAATTTCCTTTACTCACTGGGAAATAATCAAATACCCTCTGAGGGCACCTGGGTGTAAATCCTGATTTCCTTTGCTGAGTGGCTTTTACTCAGAGTGATTTACAAATTCATTGGCACTGCTGTGGAAATTTGGGTTCCTCTGGCACAGGTGACAAAACTCAGGTGCCCTGCTCTGATTCTGGTGAAAGATTTACACAACAATCATTTTTATTTTTTAAATTTCAGGTCACCTTATCATAATAATAACCAAATCAGGGAGGCAGCACAGCCACAGCCCAGGCACAGCCACAGCCCTGGCAGCTGCATTTTGGGGGAAAAACCTGGGAAAAGCAAACTCAGCCCTTCCTGGCAAGTCCCTTTATATAGAGATGGATGGGGGTGAAGTGATGGCAATTTGTTTGGCAAAATGCTGAAGTAAAAACCACTGCCCCCATCCTGATTTCCTTTGTTCAGTGAATAAATTTCCTTTACTCAGTGGGCAATAATCAAATACCCTCTGAGGGCACCTGGGTGTAAATCCTGATTTCCTTTGCTGAGTGGCTTTTACTCAGTGATTTACAAATTCATTGGCACTGCTGTGGAAATTTGGGTTCCTCTGGCACAGGTTCCTCAGGTGCTCCACTCTGATTCTGGTGAAAGATTTACACAACAATCATTTTTATTTTTTAAATTTCAGGTCACCTTATCATAATAATAACTAAATCAGGGAGGCAGCACAGCCACAGCCCAGGCACAGCCACAGCCCTGGCAGCTGCATTTTGGGGGAAAAACCTGGGAAAAGCAAACTCAGCCCTTCCTGGCAAGTCCCTTTATATAGAGATGGATGGGGGTGAAGTGATGGCAATTTGTTTGGCAAAATGCTGAAGTAAAAACCACTGCCCCCATCCTGATTTCCTTTGCTCAGTGAATAAATTTCCTTTACTCAGTGGGCAATAATCAAATACCCTCTGAGGGCACCTGGGTGTAAATCCTGATTTCCTTTGCTGAGTGGCTTTTACTCAGAGTGATTTACAAATTCATTGGCACTGCTGTGGAAATTTGGGTTCCTCTGGCACAGGTGACAAAACTCAGGTGCCCTGCTCTGATTCTGGTGAAAGATTTACACAACAATCATTTTTATTTTTTAAATTTCAGGTCACCTTATCATAATAATAACTAAATCAGGGAGGCAGCACAGCCACAGCCCAGGCACAGCCACAGCCCTGGCAGCTGCATTTTGGGGGAAAAACCTGGGAAAAGCAAACTCAGCCCTTCCTGGCAAGTCCCTTTATATAGAGATGGATGGGGGTGAAGTGATGGGAATTTGTTTGGCAAAATGCTGAAGTAAAAACCACTGCCCCCATCCTGATTTCCTTTGCTCAGTGAATAAATTTCCTTTACTCACTGGGCAATAATCAAATACCCTCTGAGGGCACCTGGGTGTAAATCCTGATTTCCTTTGCTGAGTGGCTTTTACTCAGAGTGATTTACAAATTCATTGGCACTGCTGTGGAAATTTGGGTTCCTCTGGCACAGGTGACAAAACTCAGCCCCACTCTGGTGAAAGATTTACACAACAATATTTTTTATTTCTTTATTTTTTAAATTTGAGGTCACCTCATCATGGAAATAACCAAATCTTCCTGAGGGCAGGGCAGGATTTGCCTGCAGAGGCCATTCCTGGGTCACAGGCTTGGTGAGCTGTCACTCAGCTCTACTGATATTTTTTTAGGAAGTTTTTACTAGCTGATCTAATTTTTTTTCCCCTCACACTGAACTAGAATATGAATTTCAGTTTAAATCTTAAATCTGAGTTCACAGCACGGTAATTTAGGTTTTTTTGCTGTATTTTATTGTTGGATTTTAGGACAGCTCTCAATGAGAAGTTCAATTTCCTGCATTTTCTAGATCAGAAAACTGCTTTTGCTGCCAAAGGGATGCTCCAAGGCTGGAATATTTTCCTTGCAGGAAGAAAAGCAGACACAGAGACCTGAAAACAGGAATTCACCAGCTGCAGCTGTGTTTTCCAGGTATGTTCATACTGACATTTTACTGACATTTTTTAAGCATCCTTTCCCTTTACTGGACTATTTAAGTGTCAGCTTTAACTATAAAAACTTTTAAAAATAAGTTCTAAACACAATCCTGAATTTTGGGCGAGTTCATCTTCAATATTAGTAATGGTAATTATAAATATGAATATTTATCTCTTAAGAGGAATAGTTGGAATGAGTGTGACAAGGGAGAAAAAACATTTATTGTGGTCACACCATCATTTCTAGAGATCTAAACCCATTTTTTTCCCCCTTAACACACGTTATTTGATTTAGTTGAAGGTATTTAATTCACTGCACAGGTGGAATATCAGCTGGCCTGATCTCCAGGGAAATGAAAGAGATTTTTCCAGGGAAATAAAATCTGAGCAGGTTTTCTGTAAATGGTGTTCCTGCCACCAGCTTAGCCCCAGGTGTGATCCCACAAAGGACACTCCTCAAAACCACATTATTCACATCATTTAATGTCCAGTGAGTCCATCTCCATGAGGTAATAGTGATTTCCTGAATTTTTCACTGTTACAGAGAGAGAGCATCAGCCTGCAGCATCCCTGCAGTCCTGGACTAACCCTGCAGGGCTCCTCCAGCTTCCCAAAGCTCAGTAAATCCCATCTGACCCCCTTTGGCTCTTCCAGGAGCAGGCAGAAACCTCCCCAAGCAGTGATTTACAGTACAAGTGTGGATTTCCCCCGCCAGAGAGGCAGAAAAATCCTTTTTGTAGGCATTGAACACATTGATAAAAATAAAAAAGAAACACATGAGAACACAACTTGGAAGCAAACAGCTCCAGGCTGGGCTGGACAGAGGGGATTGTGCAGCAGAAATTAAAATGTGCTGCACATCCCAAGTGCAAAAAAACATTAATTTAACAGGGAAGGGGCACAGAGGGAAGGTGCTGCTGGGTGGATCCTGCTCCAGGAACACTTTTCTCCTCCATCCACCCCCACAATGACAGGGAAAGGGCATTTCCCCAGGGCATTACTCAGCATTAAATCCTCCAGGTGGGATTTTTGTACAAACCAAAGCGTGTAAATGAGTTCAGACACCACAGCTCCAATTTGTGCTGCCACACAAGGCCACAAATATTGCTGGAAATGCACAGAAGCTGCTGGAGTTGGGCTTCAGAAGAAAAACCTTTTCCAGCTTTGCTGGGAATAAAAAAAATCAATCCCTTAGCAGCTCATCCTAATGTGGAATTATTTTTCTAATTCTACACGGCTCCTTTTAATGTGGATTTTTTTTCTAACTCTAGAGAGGTAAAAAAAAGAACTGACAGATGTAAAAAAAAGTGTAAAAAAAACCCTGTTCCACGTTTATAAAGTGGAATAACTTGGCCATCAGCTCCAGGCTGAAAAGAAAAAGTGGAAATAAGCACAGACAGAGAACCAGAGGGTTGTGCTTGTGCAAAAATGTCATTGTCACCCATCAGGGCAGGTCGAGCAGCTTGTGCTGAGCAAAGAGCTCCTGGGTGATGCTGTAAGCTAGGAATAGAAAAAAATAAATCCCTTAGCAGCTCAACCTAACATGGAATTTTTTTCTAACTTTAGAGATGTAAGAAAAGAACTGAGAGATGTAAAAAAAAGAACCGGTCCACGTTTATAAAGCGGAATAGTTTGGCCAACTTTCCATCTCCAGGCTGGTAAGAAAAAGTGGAAATAACCACGGACAGAGAACCACAGGCTCGTGCAAAAAAAACCGTCATTGTCACCCATCAGGGCAGGTCGAGCAGCTTGTGCTGAGCGAAGAGCTCCTGGGTGATGCTGTACACATCGCCGATGTAGGGGATGGCCTCCCCCAGCACGGCCACAGCCTCCTCGGCCGAGCCCACGTTCATGATCTCCAGGAAAGCATCCCGGGACGGCAGCGTGCAGAATGCCACGGTGGCTGCCTTGCGGACCACCCAGGGGTGGTGCTCGGCCAGCGAGGCGTTGTAGGCGTCGGTGCAGAGCACGGAGGTGCGCGGCTCGCCGGAGCGCAGCCCCTCGAGGAAGAGCTGCAGCCAGCGCAGGGCGCGGTGCAGCCGCAGCACCGTGCGGGGCAAAAAGCATGTGAGGGGTGAAAAGAGAAGCCAAAAACTCTCTGAGGAGCGAAAAGATAAAAAGCATCTGAGGGGTGAAAAGAGGAGGCAAAAACTCTCTGAGAGGTGACAAGAGAAGCCAAAAAAACGCCTGAGGGGGGAAGAGAGAACCCTACTGAGGGGTGACAAGAGAAGCCAAAAAAACGTCTGAGGGGGGAAAAGAGAACCCTGCTGCAAGCCCGCCAAAAATACACCTGAGGGGGGAGAAGAGACGGCAAAACTCTCTGAGGGGGGAAAAGAGAACCCTGCCAAACCCCCGCGAAAAAAACACCTGAGGGGTGAAAAGAGAAACCAAAAAGCACCTGAGGGGGGAAAAGAGAAACCAAAAAGCACCTGAGGGGGGAAAAGAGAAGCCTGCTGCAAGCCCGCCAAAAATACACCTGAGGGGGGAGAGGCAAAAACTCTCTGAGGGGGAAAAGAGAAGCCAAAAAAGCACCTGAGGGGGGAAAAGAGAACCCAAAAAGCATCTGAGGGGGGAAAAGAGAAAGCAAAAACTCTCTGAGGGGTGAAAAGAGAAGCCTGCTGAGCCCCTGCCAAAAAAACACCTGAGGGGTGAAAAGAGAAGCCAAAAAGCGCCTCAGGGGGAAAAAGAGAAGGCAAAAAAACACCTGAGGGGGGAAAAGAGAACCCTGCGGAACCCCCGCCAAAAAAAACACCTGAGGGTTAAAAGAGAACCCCAAGACCACCTCAGGGGTGAGAAAAGAGAAGGCAAAAAGCATGTGAGGGGTGAAAAGAGAAGCCAAAAACTCTCTGAGGAGCGAAAAGATAAAAAGCATCTGAGGGGTGAAAAGAGAACCCCAAAACCACTTGAGTGTGAAGCCATCTCCCTGCCCGGTCACTGCATCCTTCTGCCCACAGTCCTCCCGCTCGCTCCCGGGCACTCACCGGATGAGCCCCCGCCAGCCGCTCAGGTAGGGCTCCAGCAGCACCTCCCGCTGCTCCGTCACGCACCTCCGGAAGGCGTCCAGAACCTCCCTCAGGCTGAACGGGCCTGCGGCCGCGGCCGCCATCGCTCCGCGGCGCCGCCTCCTCTTCTTCTTCCTCCTCCTCCTTCCGCATCCCGCACCGCCCGCTCGGCCAATCAGCGCCGCGTCCGTCACCCGCCGCGCCCCGCGGGCCAATCCGCTTCGCGTGCGTCATTGCGGCTCGGCCAATCCGCGCGGGGCGGCGCAGGCGCGGAGGAGGCGCCGGGGCTGCGGCCGGGCCTGGGTGAATTTGCGTGGTTTTGTGTGGGTTTTTAAATGTTTTTTTGGTGCGTTTTTGTGCTTTTTTTGTCTGTTTTTCTGTGTTTCTACACGTGTTTTCCCGGCTCCCAGCAGCGGTGGTGGATATGTCAGCCAAACGGGGTCGCTTTCCCACCGGTTGTTTATCACCTCACGCGTGTCTTGTGTCTCTCCTCAGGAAAAAGTTTGGGCTCTGCTCGAGTCTTCGGCCGGATCCTGGAAGAATAATTGAAATGTCGCCTGTGAAACCAGCGAAATCCTCTCCTGTTGTTCGCCCCGCGGATCTGCGCCTGGAGTAATTTTCTGTGCGGGTTTGGGACCCGGAGTGGAGTAAAAATGCCTGAGATCAAAGTCACCCCCTTGGGTAAGTCCGGCCTAAAATCGCCTTGGAATGCAAGCACTGAAACCCTGCGGGGTTTGCAGTTCAGGGTTGTATTTGGAATCCCTGATGTGATTCCTCTCTGCCTTCCCTTGGCTTTTCCAGTGACAGTTATAACTGTTTGGATTAATTAATCAGGATTAATGAAGTTATCCTTGTAAAGGTATTGGTGTTGTGGAGCGTTAATTCACTACAGTGCTAAAGAGCCACAGAAAGAAAACATTTCTTATTTTTTCCCTGTTTAATCTTTTTTTAAATGAGTTTTGTAGTGAGAGGGCAGAGGATGTGCTGAGCAGCAGATCTGCTTTATCCTCATGGATAATTTTCAGCCTTGCTGTGGGTTTAAATTAATGAGGCTTAACGAGGGCAGAGCAGCTGGAAAAGGAGTTCTGATCCTTGCCAGGTTTTCTCTCCTTGAAACTGCAATTGCAGGAAGTTTCTGCATCCTTTACCTGCTTTTGTTTTTGCAAGAATTGCAGCTTTCCCCAGAGGTGTTTTACCAACGTCTTACTGGTGTTTTACTGATATTTTGCTGGTATTTTGTTGATGTTTTATTGAGGCTTAACGAGGGCAGAGCAGCTGGAAAAGGAGTTCTGATCCTTGCCAGGTTTTCTCTCCTTGAAACTGCAATTGCAGGAAGTTTCTGCATCCTTTACCTGCTTTTGTTTTTGCAAGAATTGCAGCTTTCCCCAGAGGTGTTTTACCAGCGTCTTACTGGTGTTTTATTGATGTTTTGCTGGTATTTTGCTGCTGTTTTGGTGGTATTTTCCTGCTGTTTTATTGATGTTTTGCTGGTATTTTGCTGGTGGTGTTTTATTAGTGTTTTGCTGGGTTTTTGCTGTATTTTGTGGTAATATTTTCCTGCTGTGTTATTGATGTTTTGCTGGTATTTTGCTGGTGGTGTTTTATTAGTGTTTTGCTGGGTTTTTGCTGGTATTTTGCTGGTTGCATTTTGCTGATATTTTCCTGGTGTTTTCCTGGTATTTTATTGGGATTTTATTGGTATTTTGGTGGTGGTGTTTTCTTGATGTTTTGCTGATGTTTTACTGGTATTTTGCTGGTGTTCTGTGATGTTTTCCTGCTGTTTTCTTGGTATTTTGCTGGCGGTGTTTTATTGGTGTTGTACCAATGCTTTACTGATATTTTGTGATGTTTTCCTGGTGTTTTATGATAATTTCGTGGTGTTTATTGCTGTTTTCCTGGTGTTTTATGATATTTTCCTGGTGTTTTATGATATTTTCCTGGTGTTTTATGATATTTTCTTGGTGTTTTATGATATTTTCCTGTTGTTTTATGATATTTTCCTGGTGTTTCTTGCTGTTTTCCTGGTGTTTTATGATATTTTCCTGGTGTTTATTGCTCTTTTCCTGTGTGATGTTTTCCTGGTGTTTTCTTGGGGTTTTATTGTGTTTTGCTGGTGGTGTTTTGCTGGAGTTTTCCTGGTGTTTTGCTGATATTTTATTGATGTTTTGCTGATATTTTACTGGTGTTTTCCTGGTGTTTATTGCTGTTTTCCTGGTGTTTTATGATATTTTCCTGGTGTTTATTGCTCTTTTCCTGGTGTTTTACAATATTTTCCTGGTGTTTTTTGCTGTTTTGCTGGTGGTTTATGATATTTTCCTGGTGTTTTTTGCTGTTTTGCTGGTGTCCAGGTGCCGGGCAGGACGTGGGCAGGAGCTGCATCCTGCTGTCCATCGCCGGCAAGAACGTGATGCTGGACTGTGGCATGCACATGGGCTACAACGATGATGTGAGTGTCCCCTGGGCCAGGGGGGACACTGTCCTGTCCCTCCTGCATGTCTGGCCTCCTCCATCATCCCCTGCTGGGGCTGGGCTGTGCCAGAGCTGCTCTTTCCCCTTCCAAAACCTCCCTTCCCCTCAAGTGTTCCATGAAAAGTCAGCCCCTCCTTTCCCTGCCTCGTGGACTTGGGGAAAATGTTTATTATTGCAGCTGCAAATGCTCCATTCCAGGTGGGTTTGGGCTCTGGGGGTTTGCTGGGAGCAGGAATCCTGTCCTTAGCTTTGGGGCAGCTCGTTCAAATGTTTCACACCACATTTCTGCTGCTCCAGGGAGAGAGAAGGAAACTCCTGGTTTTGGCTTCCCTGCCCCAGCAGGAAAGGAATAATGGCACAGATATTCTGCAGGATTTAGTTCAAGCAGCAGATGTGCTGTGACAGGAAAGCTTTTGGGGCTTTGTGCCTCAGAGCCAGGGTGTGTTCAGCACCTGCTTGACTTGGGACATAAAATAACTTATTTATGAAAGGGTCAGTTTCTGTCTGTCCCCTCATTTCTGCTTCTCCCTGCACACAAAAGCTGCTGGTGCTGCCTGGAGAGGCCTCAGCACATTCCCAGTGTCCCATTCCTTCCATTTTTTGTTGGATCAGTGGCACTGGTGTTGTTGGAAAGGACTCAGCACATTCCCAATATCCCATTCCCTCCATTTTTTGTTGGATCACTGATGCTGGTGCTGCCTGGAGAAGGATCACCACATTCCAGGTCCTTCCATCCATGCTTTTTTTTGGATCAGTCATGCTGGTGCTGTCTGAAGAAGGATCAGCACATTCCCAATGTCCCATTCCTTCCATTTTTTGTTGGATCAGTGGTGCTGGTGTTGTTGGAAAGGACTCAGCACATTCCCAGTGTCCCATTCCCTTCATGGTTTTGTTGGATCACTGATGCTGGTGATGTTGGGGAGGGCTCAGCACATTCCCAGTGTCCCATTTTCTCCATTTTTTGTTGGCTCAGTGGTGCTGGTGCTGCCTGGAGAGGGCTCAGCACATTCCCAGTGTCCCATTGTCCCATTCCCTCCATGTTTTCTGGATCACTGGTGCATTCCTGATGGATTTCCTGTTTCCCCATGGCTGCAGAGGCGCTTCCCTGACTTCTCCTACATCACCCAGAACGGAAGGCTGACGGATTTCCTGGACTGTGTCATCATCAGGTGAGGCTCCTTCCTTGTCCCAGCACTTCCCAAGCCCATCCCTCACATTTACCTGCTTTTCCCCCATCCTGCACACCTACAGAATATCTGAGCCCCCCAAGCTCAACCCATTGTGCTTTTTTTTTGCTTTTTTTTTATTTTCAGCCACTTCCACCTGGACCACTGTGGGGCTCTGCCCTATTTCAGTGAGATGGTTGGCTATGATGGCCCCATCTACATGACCCACCCCACCAAGGCCATCTGCCCCATCCTGCTGGAGGACTACAGGAAGATCACCGTGGACAAGAAAGGGGAAACCAACTTCTTCACCTCGCAGATGATCAAAGACTGCATGAAGAAGGTGGTGGCTGTGCACCTGCACCAGACCGTGCAGGTGGGGGCCTTTGGAGTCAGGGCTGCAATTAGGAGTGTACCTAATTAATCAAGGGGTGCAGTTAGGAATGTAGCTAATGAATCCAGGGGTGCAGTTAGGGGTGTACCTAATGAATCCAGGGGTTCAGTTAGGAGTGTAGCTAATGAATCAATGGGTTAAATTAAAAATCAGTAGTTAAGTCAGTAGTGTAGCTAATGAATCAAGGATGTAAATTTGGAATGTAGCTAATTAATCAAAGGGTTAAATTAAAAATCAATGGATTAAGTTAGAAATGTAGCTAATGAACCAATGGGTTAAGTTGGAAATGTAGCTAATGAATCAAGGGGTTAAATTAGGAATGTAGCTAATGAATCCAGGGGTGCAGTTAGGAATGTAGCTAATGAATCCAGGGGTTCAGTTAGGAGTGTAGCTAATGAATCAATGGGTTAAATTAAAAATCAATAGTTAAGTCAGGAGTGTAGCTAATGAATCAAGGACGTAAATTTGGAATGTAGCTAATTAATCAAAGGGTTAAATTAAAAATCAATGGATTAAGTTAGAAATGTAGCTAATGAATCAATGGGTTAAGTTGGAAATGTAGCTAATGAATCAAGGGGTTAAATTAGGAATGTAGCTAATGAATCCAGGGGTGGGTTTTGCTGTCTATATTTGATATATATATATATATATAATTGAAATACTGGCATTTCTGAAGGTTTTGCTGTCTATATTTGATATATATATATATATATAATTGAAATACTGGTATTTCTGAAGGTTTTGCTGTCTATATTTATATCTATATATCTGTACATATAATCTGAAGTGCTGGCATTGCTGAGGCTCTGCTCTTGGCAGGTGGACGAGGAGCTGGAGATCAAGGCTTACTACGCGGGCCACGTGCTGGGAGCTGCCATGTTCCACATCAAGGTTGGCTGTGAGTCCGTGCTCTACACCGTGAGTGTCACGCAGGGAGGAACACTTCTTCCCCTCTTTATCTCTAAATATTCCCAGACACCTACATTTTTTATATATTTGTCTATATATATATGTAATTGTGTTCTAATGAATCAAGGGGTTCAGTTAGGAATGTACCCAGTGAATCAAGGGGTTAAATTGGAAATGTAGGTGATTAATCAAGGGGTTAAGTTGGAAATGTGGCTCATGAATCAATGAGTTGTTGGAAATGTAGCTAATTTATCAAGGGGTTAAGTTAGGAATATAAGCTAATTAATCAATGGATTAAGTTAGGACTGTAGCTAATGAATCAAGGGGTTAAGT